GATATACCCAGCTGGCTCTGTCCCAGAGGGGCATCTGGGAGCCCCTTCTCCCATTCTCATCGTTGAAAAAATTTTGTCAATCGCATTGAGAGATCAACTGACCAGACCCATTTTTAATAATTTCCAGTTTCCAGAAAAAATGCAGAAAGCGCCGTGCACACAAGACAGGACAAAGAGCCTTGGGATGGCGGTAGAGGAGAAAAAAGCGTATGTACTCTCCAAGAGCCGGAATATGATAAAGACCAAGTTCACTCGTTTTTTAACACATTTGCTGTGGTTTGTAGCATACATTAATTCCTTGTGAGTCAATCTCTATGGGAAAAAGCTGTAGTGCTCCTGTTTCAGGAAGCAGAAGTTAGCCAGAAGAGTGGGGTTTAGGAAACAGCAGGATTTGGAGTCTTATATTTTGATATTTGGACATCTTGCCTCTGATTGGCTAACAGCAACGCAACTCTACCAGTGACTCCATTTGCTTTGCAAAATTGATGTTTTATCTCCACGAATAACAGGTGGTGGAGCATGTCCTGGGTATTCCTTTGGGTCTCCTCCCAGTTGGACATGCCCGGAAAATCTCACCAGGGAGGTGTTCAGGAGGCATCCTAACTAGATGCCTGAGCCACCTCAACTGGTTCCTCTTAATGATCTATGCTCTCTCCTGGTCGCTAAATCAACAACAGCCTTCCCCAGTCGCAAGCCAAGATAGGTGAGGCCATGAAAGTAAATTTTCAATGACTGGCTTTTCTAATCCAAGCGATTAGAAGACTATTTTCACTCTCAGCCTACATGGTAAACTCAGAGTGACCAATCACAGGGCTGGGCTGCCAACTCTCACACATTGAGCGTGAGACACACATACAGGTGCTGGCCAGTAAATTAGAATATCATCAAAAGGTTGAAAATATTTCAGTAATTCCATTCAAAACGTGAAACTTGTACATTATATTCATGCAATGCACACAGACCAATGTATTTCCAATGTTCATTATATTTAAATTTGATATTCATAAGTGACAACTAATGAAAACTCCAAATTTGGTATCTCAAAAAATTAGAATATTCTGAAAAGGCTGAATATAGAAGACACCTGCTGCCACTCTAATCAGCTGATTTACTCAAAACACCTGCAAAGGCCTTTAAAAGGTCCCTCAGTCTTGTTTTGAAGGCACCACAATCATGGGGAAGACTTCTGACTTAACAGCTGTCCAAAAGACAATCATTGACACCTTGCACAAGGAGGGCAAGACACAAAAGGTGATTGCTAAAGAAGCTGGCTGTTCGCAGAGCTCTGTGTCCAAGCACATTAACAGACAGGCGAAGGGACGGAAAAAATGTGGTAGAAAAAAGTGTACAAGCTCTAGGGATAACCGCACCCTGCAGAGAATTGTGACGACAAACCCATTCAAAAATGTGGGGGAGATCCACAAAGAGTGGACTGCAGCTGGAGTCAGCGCTTCAAGAACCACCACGAGGAGACTCATGAAAGACATGGGATTCAGGTGTCGCATTCCGTGTGTCAAGCCACTCTTGAACAAGAAACAGCGCAAGAAGCGTCTCGCCTGGGCCAAGGACAAAAAGGACTGGACTGATGCTGAGTGGTCCAAAGTTATGTTTTCTGATGAAAGCAAGTTCTGCATTTCCTTTGGAAATCAAGGACCCAGAGTCTGGAGGAAGAGCGGAGAAGCACAGAATCCACGTTGCATGAGGTCCAGTGTAAAGTTTCCACCGTCAGTGATGGTGTGGGGTGCCATGTCATCTGCCGGTGTTGGCCCACTCTGTTTCCTGAGGTCCAGGGTCAATGCAGCCGTCTACCAGGAAGTTTTAGAGCACTTCATGCTTCCTGCTGCTGACCAACTTTATGGGGATGCAGACTTCACCTTTCAACAGGACTTGGCACCTGCACACAGTGCCAAAACCACCAGCACCTGGTTCAAGGACCATGGTATCCCTGTCCTTGATTGGCCAGCAAACTCGCCTGACCTTAACCCCATAGAAAATCTATGGGGTATTGTGAAGCGGAGGATGCAATACGCTAGACCCAACAATGCAGAGGAGCTGAAGACGACTATCAGAGCAACCTGGGCTCTCATAACACCTGAGCAGTGCCACAGACTGATCGAGTCCATGCCACGCCGCATTACTGCAGTTATTGAGGCAAAAGGAGCCCCGACTAAGTATTGAGTGCTATACATGCACATTCTTTTCATGTTCATTCTTTTCAGTTGGCCAACATTAGAGAAACAAACATTTTTTCATTGGCCTTTAGAATATTCTAATTTTCTGAGATACCAGATTTGATGTTTTCATTGGTTGTCACCTATAAATATCAAATTTAAATGTAATGAACATTGGAAATACATTGGTCTGTGTGCATTGCATGAATATAATGTACAAGTTTCACGTTTTGAATGGAATTACTGAAATATTTTCAACCTTTTGATGATATTCTAATTTACTGGCCAGCACCTGTATGTCCCTCTTCTCACTGTCACATGACACCTCCAATATCTCACGCTGAAGAATACCCAACCCCCCCACTCTCATGCAAATTTAATGGAGGCAAAACTGTTCACGTAACACCCCCCCCCCCCAACCCCCACTGCTCTTACCCATTGAAAAGTTAAAAGGTTGGCAGCCCTGCATTCACATTTAAAAAATAACAAGTCAAGACTTTTCCATCTGAATTTGCTCTTTAAGGGATCAGAGATTTCCAGAATGAGACCCAGCACTATGTTTGGCCTGTTGTAAGTGAGAGTTGGACTCTACCTAAATGTGTTGATGTAGATTCTGTCATCCAGGTCATGATAATCTTGAGTGTTTAATTGAAAAAAATCTGGACTTTTCTTGGTATCTTGAAAATGATTCGCTAGAACTTTCCTTGTCACTGGTTATCTTACAGAGTTCCTCTCGGACACCCAGGGGGGACTCTTGAGTAGAGCCACTGCTCCTCCATGTTGGGGATTTGGACAAGATGCTTCTGGATCAGGGAAAGGTTTTGAGGTAGGAGACCCTGTATTCACATTCTGGAGGGATAGGCTGTCTGTGAATACCTTAGGATCCCACTTGAAGAGCTGGTGGAGCGGCTTGGGAGAGAACAGTCAGGGATTCTCTGTTCCTTGGACCCAGAGAAAAGAAATAATCAAGACAAGAAAACAAAATTTAGTTAAAAAATAAGTTCATATTTAGTAAATTGTAATCACATGAACTGCTGTTAAACTTTTGAGATTGGAGTTGTTTAAAATGGCAGTAATCCACTTTGGTCTTAACCCTAGTCAGACTAGCCATGAGCTTATCAATCTGTTCAGACCTAATCTCTGTTTTTTTAAACTGAGGTCATTTAAATGGCTGTTTGCAATCAGTAAGAATTTAATTCTTTACACACGATCACACTTCAAAACACATGAACTGTCTCTTTAAATATGTGCCACAGGATTTTAATAATCTGGATTTGTGACATGGGGTGGTGGTCCCCATCTTTAAGAAGGGTGACCTGAGGGTGTGTTCCAACTATAGGGGGATCGCACTCCTCAGCCTCCCTGGAAAGGTCTACTCCAAGGTACTGGAGAGGAGGGTCCGATCGATAGTTGAATCTCAGATTGAGGAGGAGCAATGTGGTTTTCGTCCTGGCCGTGGAACTGTGGACCAGCTCTATACCCTTGCAAGGGTGATGGAGGAGTCATGGGAGTTTGCCCAACCAATCCACATGTGTTTTGTGGATTTGGAGAAGGCTTATGACCGTGTCCCCAGGGGCACCCTGTGGGGGACGCTCCAGGAGTATGGGGTGGGTGGCTTTCTGTTAAGGGCCATTCAGTCCCTTTACCAGAGGAGCGTGAGTTTGGTCCGCATAGCCGGTAGTAAGTCGGACCTGTTTCCGGTGAGGGTTGGACTCCGCCAGGGCTGCCCTTTGTCATCGGTTCTGTTCATTACCTTTATGGACAGAATTTCTAGGCGCAGCCATGGTGTAGAGTGTGTCGAGTTTGGTGGCAGGAGAATCTTGTCTTTGCTTTTTGCGGATGATGTGGTCCTCCTAGCTTCATCCAGCTCTGACCTTCAGCTCTTGCTGGGTAGGTTCGCGGTCAAGTGTGAAGCGGCTGGGATGAGGATCAGCACCTCCAAATCTGAGACCATGGTTCTCGACCGGAAAAGGGTGGCTTGCCAACTCCGGGTCGGGGGAGAGGTCCTACCTCAAGTGGAGGAGTTTTAAGTATCTCGGGGTCTTGTTCACGAGTGAGGGTAGGAGGGATCAGGAGATCGACAGGCAGATTGGTTCAGCGTCTGCAGTGATGCGGACGCTGAGCCGATCTGTTGTGGTGAAGAGGGAGTTGAGCCAGAAAGCCAGGCTCTCGATTTACCGGTGGATCTACGTCCCAATCCTCACCTATGGTCATGAGCTTTGAGTAATGACCGAAAGAACGAGATCACGGATACAAGCGGCCAAAATGAGTTTCCTCCGTAGGGTGGCCGGGCTCAGCCTTAGAGATAGGGTGAGGAGCTCGGACATTCGGGAGGGACTCGGAGTAGAACCACTGCTCCTCCGGATCGAAAGGAGCCAGTTGAGGTGGTTTGGGCATCTAGTCAGGATGCCTCCCCGGGGAGGTGTTTCGGGCATGTCCTGCCGGCAGGAGGCCCCCGGGTCGACCCAGGACACATTGGAGAGGTTACATCTCCAATCTGGTCCGGGAAAGCCTTGGGGTCCTGCCGGAGGAGCTGGTGGAGGTGGCCGGGGAGAGGACGGTCTGGAGCTCCCTAGTTGGGATGCTGCCCCCACGACCCGGACCCGGATAAGCGGAGGAAGACGACGACGATTTTTGATATTTTTATTAGCCACAGTGAAATATTTGATATGCACCGGCAGACAGACTATTTTTTATTGTTTAAACAGATATACTTTATAGAATTGACTTTAAGTTATGTTCCCCCCCCCCCCCCCCCCTGTATTTTGTGAAGTATCAGGTTAGGTGTAACATAGCAGAGATAAACTGATTATGTGAATTTTCCCACAGGCTGTAAAGAAAGGAGCCAGCCAGACTGTGGTTGGGCTAATATTTGGGTCCTACGCTGTCTGCAATTTAATTGGCTCTTTAATAATGGGAAAATATGTAAGTATATGTAAGGTATTCTATCCATTATCACTTTGCATTATGTAATGCCGAGCTGTCATTGTTTTTGTAGATAGTCCAAATTGGTGCCAAGTTCATGCTAATTGCAGGTCTTTTTGTGTCATCAGTCTGCACCATTACGTTTGGGTGAGAAACCATTTGTGAGTTCATTCCAAGTAGATGCAGTTTCTGATTCTTGCTGCAAACATTTCTGTTCTATTTGTGCTCAGGTTACTTGATCGTGCTCCTGCAGGAGCTGCCTTCATCACTCTGTGCTTTATAGTGAGGTCCATCGACGCTTTGGGCTTTGCTGCTGCCATGACCTCGTCTTTTGCCATGACAGCAAAAATATTCCCAAACAATGTGGCAACTGTTTTGGTGAGAGCAGACTCCCCTTGTCTTCCTGGCATGCTGCAGCTGTTGAGATATTGAAATCACGAGAAAGCATAAAAAACATGCTGTAGTTTGAGTTGTTATGCTTATGTCTCTTCCATAGCAAAATAAAGTACATAAATATAATTTTACTTACTGATAAGAAGAAGCAGAAACGGCTTGGATGGTCTGTTACTAACCACAGCTCGCCCTTTAGTCCAACTAATCCCATGATTAACATCCAAACACACACAGACAAAACTAAAGTTCAGAGAGTCGAAATGGCCGAACATCTATCAACGTGAGGCCGAGGCGTTTCTCTGAATTGGATGCTCATTAATTATTCAGATTTTCAAGCAATAAATTCCACTTGAACAGAAGAGTTACAAAAAAATTCACCCCAGTTCATGAGTGTAAACTAAATCTATTAAACTTAAAATGGTTTTTGGAACCAGGCTGTAAACATGTTTATCTCTGCTGTGAAATGGATATTTTTACCATGGGAGTCAATGAGGATTTGCTCTCTTCTGCTGCCAGACCCTAGTGGATGAGGGTGAAACTGCAACTTTTGTCACTTCCTTTTTGGCCTCATGTTTGCTTTAGAATTATGGGGGCTTGGTCCAAACGTCTTTAGTTGTCTGTGACTTCAGATGATGTTTTTGTTTTTGGGACTCTGGTAGTTTGTCTTGAAGTTGAAGTTTTAGCGGCCGGCTGTTTCTCCTTCTCTGATATTATTGAGCCACAAACCTCCCACATTAGTGGTGTTCTGTTGCTAAATATGCGTAATTCATTCATTCATTTCATTTATTTATTTATAAAGCACTTTAAAACACCCAGCACAGGAACAAAGTGCTGTACAGAAAATACATTAAAACAATAGAATAAACAGAAAGCAGCAAAGAGAAATAAATAAAACACATGAGACATCAAATTAAAACAGCCCAATAATAAGAATAAAAACTAGTTAAAAACAGCATTGAAACACCCAAAAACAGCTAAAATAAGTCAAAACTAAAAATAGCAACCAACATCTCACAAGGTGACAAAAGCAAGGGTAAAGAGGTGTGTTTTCAAGAGAGACTTAAAAACAGGTAAGGAACTGGCCTGTCTTATCTCTAAAGGAAGCTCAATCCACAGTTTAGGAGCTGCTATAGCAAAGGCGCGATCTCCTCTAAGTTTACGCCCAGTCCTGGGTACATTCAGGAGCAGCTGATCAGCTGACCTGAGAGAGCGGGAGGGTGTGTAAGGCTGTAACAGGACAGAGAGATAAGAAGGTGCAAGGCCATGGAGACATTTAAAAGCAAACAAAATAATTTTAAAATGAATCCTAAAAGAAATGGGCAGCCAGTGAAGTGAAGCTAAAACAGGGGAAATGTGCTCAAACTTTGGAGTGCCAGTTAAAAGACGGGCTGCAGCATTTTGCACCCTCTATATAGAGTGCGTTACAGTAATCCAGCCGAGTGGTAACAAAGGCGTGGATCACTGTCTCGAAGTGCTGCCGTGAAAGAATTGGCTTTATTTTCGCCAGCTGCCTGAGGTGAAAGAAGCTAGATTTTACCACCGTCCTAATCTGATGTTCAAACGTCAGATCACAGTCCACTTTGACCCCCAGGTTTGTGACAGTTGGCTTAACAAACTGGGCCAGGGAATCAACATACACATTGGGGGTCTCAGTAGGACTACCAAAAATCATCACCTCAGTCTTTTTATCATTGAATTTTAAAAAGTTAATAGACATCCAAGTAATGAGTGAAGGAGCAAGGGAAGTGCGGCGGTTCGACGAGACCAACAACAAACGTGTTATTGGCGGAGGTTTTGACATATGTGAGAACAACTTTATTAATATTTTTCATTAGTTTTTTTTTCTCTCTACAGTATATTTATAGCTTGAAGGTTGTTAAGATGCATGAAATGTTTAAGCAAATTTATTTTTTCAAATTTGTCATTGCAGCTTTAATTGTAATTAGTTACACTTTTAGGAAAGTTGAGTAAATTTTCAGTCTGACCTGATTACTTCCAGACCCGTAGAGCTAAGTAATAAATAAACTAAGTAGCCTAGGCTAAAAGATCTCAAAAAGCAACGCCTCATGATAAATAACTTTGTGAGCAAAAGAACCTAAAACTGAATCTGAAGCACTGCAGGCATCACCCAGTTAGAGGTTGGAGGTCAATAATGAAAAGGGGGGTGGGGGTGGGGTGGGGGGTAATGGGGCATGGCCTCCATGATAGAGTTTCAAAGGAAAAACCTTTGCTGAACCAAAACATGACAGTCGTCTCACATTTACCCAAGAAACACCACAGTTAGCTTTTAGGAAAATATTCTGTGGACTGACTATGTTCATGTCCTGGAATAAAGCAAATGCTGCATTTCAGAACAAGAACGTCATGGCAACAGTGAAACACAGTGGAGGTAATGTGATGGTCCTGACTGCTTTGCTGCTTTTAGACCAGGACCATGTACTGGAACCAGGACTTCTCTAGCATATAATCGTCGTCGTCGTCTTCCTCCACTTATCCGGGTCCGGGTCGCGGGGGCAGCATCCCAACTAGGGAGCTCCAGACTGTCCTCTCCCCGGCCTTCTTCACCAGCTCCTCCGGCAAGACCCCAAGGCATTCCCGGACCAGATTGGAGATGTAACCTCTCCAACGCGTCCTGGGTCGACCCGGGGGCCTCCTGCCGGCAGGACATGCCCGAAACACCTTCCCAGGGAGGCGTCCAGGAGGCATCCTGACCAGATGCCCAAACCACCTCAACTGGCTCCTTTCGATCCGGAGGAGCAGCGGTTCTACTCCGAGTCCCTCCCAAATGTCCGAGCTCCTCACCCTGTCTCTAAGGCTGAGCCCGGTCACCCTACGGAGGAAACTCATTTCAGCCGCTTGTATTCGCGATCTCGTTCTTTCGGTCATTACCCAGAGATCAGGATCAGCACCTCCAAATCTGAGACCATGGTTCTCGACTGGAAAAGGGTGGCTTGCTAACTCCGGGTCGGGGGAGAGGTCCTACCTCAAGTGGAGGAGTTTTAAGTATCTCGGGGTCTTGTTCACGAGTGAGGGTAGGAGGGATCGGGAGATCGATAGGCGGATTGGTTCAGCGTCTGCAGTGATGCGGACGCTGAGCCGATCTGTTGTGGTGAACAGGGAGCTGAGCCAGAAAGCCTGGCTCTCGATTTACCGGTCGATCTACGTCCCAATCCTCACCTATGGTCACGAGCTTTGAGTAATGACCGAAAGAACGAGATCGCGGATACAAGCGGCCAAAATGAGTTTCCTCCGTAGGGTGGCCGGGCTCAGCCTTAGAGATAGGTTGAGGAGCTCGGACATTCGGGAGGGACTCGGAGTAGCATATAATCCTGAAGGAGAATATCTGACATTTAACATTAACAGGCTGGTCATGATGCAAAACCCTCCAATGTGGCTGAATTATAATATTTCTGAGACAGTAGTCCTCCACAGTGATGCAAGACACTCTTATCACGCCATTACCTTTACTACAGCTGCTGCTGTCAAGCATTTCACAATCAGTAAGTTTTCCTCACAGGGCCAGGTTGTGGAACAATCCCCCCCCCCAAAATCAAGTCGTCATTTGAAAACTTTTTACACAGGTTATATCTGATTCTGAAACTTGTTTGATGAACACTTAAGTATGACAGAAAAGTAAAATCAATGAGTCTGTAAGGGGAAAATACCTTTTACAGCAATAACACACACATGTATCTACATTTTTAGGGAAGTCTGGAGATTTTCACCGGACTCGGGCTGATTCTGGGCCCGCCGGTGGGAGGATGGTTCTACCACTCTTTTGGATATGAAGTCCCTTTTATGCTTCTGGGATTTTTGCTTCTGATCATGGTTCCTTTCAACATTTACGTGCTGCCATCCATCGGTACGAGTTTCTTATAGTTTTCCTCTGATTCATCTGTTGTCCTCTGATTCTGATGGTTGTTTTTGTGCTCCACTTAGAGGCGGATCCATCCAAAGATTCCTTCCTTCGGCTTCTCTCACATGTCAGAGTCGTTCTGATTTGCTTTGTAATTTTTACGCTCAGCGCAGGTCTGGGCTTCATTGATGCCACCCTGTCACTGTTTGCAATGAAGACCGTAAGATTCTGTTTTATTATAAACTCAATTCACTGTTGATTTATTGATCATTTGATGATATTTTGAATTATTGTTGTAGTTTAATCTCTCTTCTGGCTACGTGGGGCTCATCATGCTGGGCTTGTCCTTACCGTATTGTCTGGCGTCCCCTCTGATTGGCTACTTCACAGATAAATATCCTGTGAGTTTTAAAGCAACTAAAACAATTACATATCAGAAATGAGAGTATTTTGTTTTACCTTTAAGTCTTGATGCCCATCAGGTCTCCAGAAATGGATTTACAGTGACAGGGGGCATCATCACCGCTGCTGGGTTCTTCCTGCTTGGCCCCGCCCCTTTTCTTCATATCTCAAGGTTTATTACTTTACCGCTGTAGACCGCTTAGAAACGTATTTTAGTCTTAGTTCAGTTCATTAAAACATGATCTTAACTGGAAAAAAAAAATACCATAACAAACAAACAAACAAATAATATATTTAAAACATACCAGATGAAATTTAAGTTAAACTTAAAGAATGAAAATTGAGTGCATCATGAGTGAATTTCTCATTTAAAATAATTTCAGTTCTGTCTTCCACAAATAATAAAAACATAAGTTTAAAGTGAATTACTTCATTTACTGATAACTGTTGTCCTCTACACTTGTTAAGTCTAAAACTAACAATTATAAACGGAGGGAACAACGTTCAGTTCTAATTTAAAGGTAAAATGTTTAGTGTTTTTGTGCTCATGTTGCTCAGATTAACGGCACTCTTCTGTTTTTCTCTCCTTTGTGGCCGTTTTTCCATGTGAAGCCAGCTGTGGTTGATGATCATCACGCTTGGTCTAATCGGGTTTTCGCTGGGAATGACGGCCATTCCCACATTCCCTGAGATCATCAAATATGCACAGTGAGTGTCTAATCATTATTTCCCATTTGTGACGCGTCTTTCTTTACAGAAATAAACTCCAGTTTTTTATTTCATTTTGGAGGGAACAAGGATTTGAAGAAGGACTGAGCACTCTTGGAATGGTGTCTGGGTTGTTCGGTGCGTTTTGGTCCCTCGGGTGAGTTCAGAAGCCTTTAATGTGCTGACCTTTGAACTTTGTATTACTTTAATTTGTGCCTTAATGAGAACTTTTGTTTTTAAGGATGTTTTATGGGCCGATTGTAGGAGGCCTTATTACACAAAATCTGAACTTTGAGTGGGGAGCCACAGTTCAGGGAGGCATGACGTTTCTGGCTGTGAGTCTCAGTTATTATGATGAAAGTATTTAACCATTTAAAAACAATAAAACAAATAATATATATTCTTCTTCTAGAACAGGATTAGTACTTTCTTTTACACATCTTCTACATGTTGGGAAAGTTTCATAATTTAATCTATTTATAAAATATTATACATACATACATATATATATCATAACCACATGTAGTACTTATATCCTCCACCAGAGGGTAGAATATGTGCAGTGGAAAGTACTAATCCTGTTAAAGAGGACGCAGCCTTAAAATAAGTGTTTTTATATATATATATATATATTTGTGTTTCCTTATAACCTAAAGATATGAAACTGTTTACAGGCCTTTCTTCTCATGGTTCACTCCTTCTGTCAGCGAAGACGACAAAGGTAAACCTAAATTGGATTTTAGTCCTAATTTATCAGCTTCTCACATATTAACACAGTCTTTGTATATCTCAATAATCTGTACATCAAACGGGTTTAATTTGTGAGCATGATCTATGTAAACTTTTATTTTTAGTGCACGAGAAGACAGTCAACCAACTAATGAAAGCACTCCTCTACTGACCGGATGAAGGCCTCAGACAGCTACACATGGAACCAGATTTTTGCTGTTTGACTTTAGGAAATATTTAATCTATATTCTTGCAGCTGACGTCTAATGTTATTTTTACCAAGTGTTTATCTGCGGTGCTGCTTGAATCGATAGACAGAGCATCTGTTGCATTAAGTTAAAAACTAATCAATAGTCCTTATCAGAACCAAACTCTGCCATTTTGTACTTAGACCCGTCTTGTGTTAATGATCTTAAAGTTCTAGAACACACGACTTGGACTTCAAACCCGAGTGAGCCGTGTCGGGATCTGCTCAAACATTCCTGGGCATGTAAAGGAAATAAAACACACTAGCTTAGAAAATATTTATTATACAGGTCATACTGGCACTGAAAGTTAGATTTTGTGTTATGAGTCATGAATTCTTTATGAAAATGTAAAAAAATAATAAAAAATTAGGGCAGCAATGCTATTTATTTGCTCCACTGTTAGATAAAACACCTCAAAATATCAATTTAATTTCCAATTACTCACCAAAACAAGACATTTACTCAAAGGTAGTGTTTTATAGACAGAATAAAACGTGCTCTTATATCCAAACTATATCTTCTACTTATTAGAGAAATAAACATGTAAAACGTGCGTTCCTGGCCATAAATGACATTTATAAACACAAATACAAATTTACTGAAAGTGATTTTATAAGCAGACACACTTTGCATATATTACGTTTTTTTTTAAATACAGTCAACTGAGTAAATGGTGTTCAGTATAACAAAGTACAAATATACTGATTAAAAAATAAAAGTCTCTAAAATAAAACATTAGAAGTGAAAATGACCAGCTCTAACAAAAAGACAGACACAGTTCAGGTATCAGGCTCAAAAGCACGGTTACATTGTCCTGTTGGTCTCTGTGGGAGAGGTCTGTCTGTGGACCTGTCTCTCCTCCTGCTTCTGCTCCATCCTGAAGGATCTGCTGGCTGGGACGAAGCTACAGGCTCTCCGGGCTTCTTCATCTTCTTTTTCCTTCTAGTTCTGTAAAAAAAAAAAAAAAAAGATATATATATCTTCACAACCAGCATTCCATTTGTTTTGATGTGAGTTTCTGTGTAAAACTATAGAAATAATTACTTTCTTGCCCACTGTATATACAGCTTCCTGAACAGCCTCACTTTAGAAAAATAGAGATCAATTTCCACATGACTGATGAGATAACAGTCAGACAAAAGCTTAAAGGTGTGGAACACTGAAAAAACATGTTTAAAATCTTATTTCTGATTATAAACGGTCACTCTGAGTTTTTCATGCAGGCTGAACATGACAATAGTCTCCTACACCTATCCTCCTGCATTAGCTTCTGATAGAAAATAAACAGTGAAACTCTAGGAATGTTACTTAACATTCATGGACTCACCCATCCTGATTCGTGACAGGGAAGGCTGTTGTTGGTTTAGCATCCAGGAAACAGCAGAGCATATCTCGGCTAGTTGAAGTTAACAGTTAGCATTAGCAGCTCCACCACACACCAGAACTCCTCCAGGCTTGCATTATTTGTGGAGATAAAACATCCATGTTGCAAGTCAATGGTAGAGTCTCGTTGCTGGCATCAATCCGAGGTGAGAAATATCAGGAAATAAAAAGACTCCAAATCCTCTGAGCTCTGAAGCTCAGCTGTGATGTGGCTCACATCTAGTTCCTGAAAATGGTGCACCAGAGCTTTGTTTCCCCAGAGTACAACTTACAAGGCATTCATTCCTACTAGAGACCACAGCAAATGGACTGATTAGTGTTCCACACCTTTAAAACAGTTCCATTCTCCAAAATGAGTTATCTTTAAATATCATTTTATAAACCTAAAAATTTGAACCATGTTCACATTATACTGTTGTTTTAGGACAACTAATAAGATATTTTTTGCCAGACTTGACCCCCAGATGAACCAGGAAATGCTACATTTGCTCCTATATATATTTTTTTTTATCTGTACTGAAACTATTCAAACGAGGCTGTTTAGCTTTAGATTCACCGTCCAGGTTGTGTTCCCGTTTCTAGTAGTTAGATATGTGAAGTGGTGGAGGTTTTTAGTTATTTACAAGCTTGAATATCAGGAATTCACTTTGATCTTGACTGGATCAGACTAGTCGTTAGCTCATCAGTCCTGTTGGATGAATTTTTATGAACAAAAGTTGTTCAGCAATGATTAGGTTATTTGTTATTTTCTGCAGAAAAACACTTCAGAATGACCAACGCATTCATTTAATCATGTTTCTTAACCAGTTTTCCTAAAAGGAGCAAAAACATCAACCCTCACATGCTGCCGTAATCATGCATCATGAATATAAAAGGGAGCCTCTTACTTAACGTTGGTCAGCCCAGGTTCGGTGTCCGAAAAAGTTGGCTCAGAGAGAAACCTAAGCTCCCCAGAGGAACTAACCGCAGCAGATACCTTGAAATGTGAGCATGAAAACTTAAGAACCAGAGAGACAGGAAACACCAAACAGATACCCGCCAGACAGAATCCCATCATGCATCTTAACAAGGCATAGGTTAACATGACGCTCCTCTGCAGGGTGCAGCTCCCATTTAGGCCTGCAGGGGGAGAACTTCATGTAAAACAACCCAAAGAAGAAACTGATTTAAATCTGTTTTCCTACCCTGTTTGGGGTTGACCTCTCAACGGTCTTCTCAGGTGACATGTGCCTCTCAGCAGACTCTTCCATAAATTCACCTTCAACAACAACACAGAAGAAAAGAGTTCAAATGCATCTAAATATATATATATATATATATATATATATATATATATATATATATGTATATATGTATATGTATATATGTATATGTATATATATATATGTATATATATATATATATATGTATATATGTATATGTATATATATATATATATATATATATATATATATATGTATATATGTATATGTATATATATATATATATATATATATGTATATATGTATATGTATATATGTATATATATATATATATGTATATATATATGTATATATGTATATATATGTATATATGTATATATATGTATATATGTATATATATATATGTATATATATATATATATATATATATATATATATGTGTGTGTGTGTGTGTGTGTGTATAATCTACATGTACTTACGCTGATCTACTACATAAGAAGCAAGGAAATATCCCTGCAGTCCATTGACCAGGCGCCCAAACCACCAGGTGTCGTTATCTTTGTAGAGCACTTGGATGACATCACCGCGCCGAATGGTCAGTTCATCAGAGCGATTAGCTGTGTAATCGTAGAGGGAAACGACCTGAGAGAGAAACACAAAGATGCAACAAGAATGCAAACACACATGCTTCTGAGATCAGTGTCACAGTGGAGACTCACTACTTGCTGAACTGGAACCAAATCCGTCTCCAGGTGATTCCCCGTATGGTCACGAAGGCTCTGTTCCAGACAAAACACCACTTAACCTTCTGATGAAGTCTTTAAATTGGAATTATATGCTAGACTCAGTGGAGGATGGATTATTAAAGGGGCTTGCAATGAAAAAAATAATAAAGTGTTCCAAACCTTACCGACTGTTGCCTAAAAGCTGAAGCTCCTCTGAGACTGACTGAACTAAACCCTCCTGGAATTACACAACAAAACAACAAAAAGCAAAGTTTCTCACAGATTTCTTCTGCTTTTGCTTCGTTGTCACACTTAAATGTTTCAGATAAGCTAAAAAATTTCAGCAAATATCAATATCAGACAAAGAAAAACAGTCGCCCAAAGCAACCTGGTTCTGACCCCCAAACCTAACATCTGGTTTAACTCCTGAAGGCAACAACAGCCGTCAAGTGTTAGTGATGACCGGTGAGGCGTCTCACATCGCTGAGGAGGAGTTTTGCCCCGCTTTACTTTTAATTCAGCCACATTGGAGGGTTTAGAACGTGTTGCTTTTTGAAATTGCCTACTTCACTTGTTGATTTCTCACCTAAAGCTTTAGCAGTAATCAGGCTGGGTGAAACTTAGCGTTTCCACATAAAACCAGGTTGCTTGACCATTGTCCCCTTATTGCTGAAATCACTCTCTTGCTCTAAAAAACTCTAAGCTTCACAGCTTTGATCAAATCTTGAAGTTACATCATGCAGGAGTTCTAGCAGCGATAATCTCTGGAAACATTTGACCTCGTCTCCCAGCTCCAGAAACTCCCTTCATTGTTCCAGCACAAATAACTGATTATCTGGACGAGACACTCACGGGTTTGTGTACTCAGGGCTGCTTGCGGGATTAGCTGTTCTGCAAAAGAACCAGAGAGCTGCAGCTTGGAGTGCGGTGACAGCAGAGACGGAGGTGGCAGAGAGACATTTAATCCCATCTGAGGAAGAGCAAAAACTTTCATTTACACCTTCTAATGCAACGTCTACTGATAATACACAACAGAAGGCTTAAACGTTTTAACTCTGAAAGAAATGTGGAGACAAACAGCCTTCATTAACTTTAATATGACTCACAGTAACCTTGTGAGTCTGTGTGGTGTTTGGGGTCTGTAACCGTATAATCACCGTGCTAGTGTCTGGTGGAAAGCTCTTCCCCATATGACTGATGCCCATTTTGTCTGCAAATAAAGAGAACAAGACTAAATACTCTGCATGTAAACAAACAAACTCATCTGAGATGCTCTCATACAGACCGTGATCCGAAAGAAATCCAGAAGCTGAAGATCGGCGATGTGGTTCCTACAAATGGTGTCAAAATATGAGCCCCGTTTAAATAACTAAATGATATTTTGTGAGTTAAAGAAGATTTACCAGAACTGAATCCAGCCGCCGTTTAACAGACTGCATTTTCATGGCGAGTCGTGCTGCATGAGCAAACTGGTCCATGGCCGAAGGAGCAGAAGTGTCCTGCAGCAGCAGCAGAGAGTCGGGCGTGTTTCTGAGCGTTCGGTCTGCAGACGCCGATGTGCTCGCTGCTTTAATGTTCTGCATCTCCAGCTGGGAAACTAAATGATAAAACATGTTTAGCAAAGTGTACGAAAAGCAAAAAACAACAAAAATCATCAAAGACGACACAAACCTTTGCGATCGTACAGGTACACGAGCACAGGCTGGCTCTGACCGTACGCGCAGAACGCCACCATGTTCTCATGAGGGTGGAAAGAGACGCCATGGAGAGCGGTGTGGTAACAGAGCTCAGAGTATACCTCAACCTGGTCACCTGGGAAGAGCAGGAGAAGTCAACAAGATGCAAAATTCCCAACTGAATTTGATTTTTTTTTTGTTAATAAAAATTGATAAGCTGTGGCGGCCATCTTGAACTGGGTGAATCAGCTGTGGACACACATCCTGTGTCTTAACTTACTGAGAGTTGCATTAAAATCCATCCAGTTTACTGAGACAAGCACATCTTCACCGGCGGCGACTAAAACGCTGTTACCTGTGTCAGTATTCCAGACGTACGCCATCCCATCCTCGCTACCAGAGAGGAGGAAATTCCCACAAGGTGTGAAGGTGCTACAAATCCTCTCTCTGTAGTTTGTTGCTCCAGTGTATCGCTTCACAGCCAAACTGGGGACGACAAATGTAAAAAAACATAAACTTTCTGTTAATTTTCCATGATATCTATAACATGACTTTACTCATTCCTCTTCAAAGTTTGTTGGTGTAGCTATCATTAGAGATTTTTTATTTTTTTCTAACTTACATCCTTAAGTCCATCATCCTCAGGATGCTGTCTTTGGCGTGTATGAGCAGGCACCGACCATTAGGGTGGAGCTGCAGCATGCTGATGGGTATGCTTCGCAGGTCATCCTCAGAGATTTTCTGCAGAGACAAGAAAAAAGTCCATCCATCCATTTTCAGCCGTTTATCCGGAGTTGGGTCGCGGGGGCAGCAGCCTAAGCCGAGACACCCAGACTTCCCTCTCCCCAGCTACTTGGGCCAGCTCTTCCGGGGAAATCCCAAGGCATTCCCTGGCCAGCTGGGAGACGTAGTCCCTCCAGCGTGTCCTGGGTCTTCCCTTTGGTCTCCTCCCAGTTGGACGTGCCCAGAAAACCTCACCAGGGAGGCGTCCTGACCAGATGCCCGAGCCACCTCAACTGGCTCCTCTCGACGTGGGGGAGCAGCGGATCTACTCAGAGCCCCTCCCGAATGGCTGAGCTTCTCATCCTATCTCTTAAGGGAGAGCCCAGCCACCCTGCGAAGAAAACGCATTTCGGCTGCTTGTATCCGCACTCTCGTTCTTACGGTCACTACCCAACGTTCATGACCATAGGTGAGGGTAGGAACGTAGATCAACCGGTAAATGGAGAGCTTTGCCTTCCGGCTCAGCTCTCTCTTCACCACGACAGATCGGTACAACGCCCACGTCACTGCAGACGCAGAACCAATCTGCCTATCAAACTCACACTCCATTTTCCCTCACTCGCTCAAAGAAGAAAATATTTGCAGAGAAAAATATCTTTTTGTGTCTGTGAGAATTTAGTTTGACTCCAATTGAACAAATCTAGACTAGAGCCCTACACTGGGACTGGGATCCCACAGAAACCAACGCTAATCTGGTGGATGCTGGCAGTTGTGAGACTGCTGTAGGAGGGAGCGGGTGGCTAGAAGTAGACCACGAATCTCAAGACTGTTGATAGGATGAAGAGTACAACTGAGGCTACAGAGGTAACACGCGACATGAATATAAACGTATTTGATCGTAAAACATGTTGTTTTGTTATTTAATGGAGCTGCAGGTGGAGGTGGGGTTGGACACAAACTTTGCGAGATTGCATGGGAGTGACAGAAACAGACAACATAAAGAATAGTCCCACACGGGCTCTAATCTAGACTCGTACCCTCTCTATGCACCAACGATGACATGGCTTCTGTCGGTTCTTGTCATCATTCACTGAAGTTTTCCACACGATGATGGTGCCTGTGTTGTCTGCAGAGAACATCCTAGATCCTGTTTACACAAAAGAAATTACCATAAACAGTCAGAGGTGTTTAGGAGGGACTGAACCAGATGGGAAGGACTTGGTGGGGTCATCTAAACATTTGGAAGCTAATACCTTCAGAGTCAAAACAAATGGTGTTGATGAAGCTGCTGTGACCCTCAAACTCTTGCAGCAGCTGGCCGTTCACATCAGGGACATCAAGCCTCCACACTCGCACCAGACAGTCGTAGCTCCCTGTCACTGCCAGGTTCTGAGCGCTGGGGTGGTACTGAGCGCAGTACACGAAGGACGGATGAGAGAGGACCTTCTGGGCTGTTTCTAGAAGCATCTCGACATTCCACTCTCTGAAGGAGGAGATGAAAAGGAAGAAAGTGCTGTTTTATAAAATGTATTCCGAAGCTTAACAAAATCACACTGATATAGTAGGAGAGGCTACTGCGCCCTCTTGTGGGAACTTACCTCACCGTTCCGTCTGAGGAGGCAGACAACAAGCTTTTATCATCTCTGGACCAGCAGAGATCGTACACTATCTTCAGATGGCCGCTGAAGGCAGCTAACGCTCTGCCGGAGGGAATCTCATACACTGGAAAATTAGACAAATACGTTCTTTTAAAAGGTGCTTCGTCTCCCTTCTCCTGCATGCATGGATGGTTGAGGACTTCAATACAAAGTTGTGTAAAGAAACTCCCGAAATCGTTGCTGCTCACAAATAAGGTGAATTTTGTACAGATGAGGTGTGGCTCACCTACGACGGGGAAAGCATCTTTGTCGGCACAAGCAGCAGCCAGCATGGTTCCAGCGTGAGAAAACAGTACGGTGAAACATCCCATCTGACCCCCACGGAACGACCAGACCAGTTTGTTAGGGATTCGGCAGATCTGCAACACACAGACAAGGTCTAGTCCTGAGCTCTTCACTTCCTTAAGTAGATCAGATAATAAACATTTGATAGAAAGCAGCATCATGTGACTTGGAGCCTCCGCCGACCTGACCAACAGCACGGCTCCATCTCAGGATCGGCTGCTTGCTATCAGGAGGCTGTGTCAGAGTTTTCTGTGTGATCTCTTTCTGCAGATCACTATAGGTGGTGCTGCCTCTCTCCTCCTGTAGCGCCATCATAGATCGGATACCGGGGTCCACCTGCACAAACGGCACAAACCAACTCTGCTTTACCAAAGTAGAAGTATGGACAACAGAAAAACGTAATGAATCATCAGTTTCTAGCTGCAGACTTACATGTTCTGGGAGTTTGATCCCTTTCACGGTAACATAAAGGGTGGAAGCATAATGGATTCGTGGGTACTTCCTCCACCACTCAAACACTTCTATCGTTTTAGTTTGTCTCTTTGCCCGAGGTGGAGGGCAGAAGAGCTGGAGACGAAGTTTACTGTCGATGTTTAAAACATCATTTGTGCCAACAAGCTAAAATATGGAGAGAAAACATGTTTAAAAATGATGAACAGTAACAAATATAGACTGACAAGTGAACAGAATGTTCTCTTTACCTTCAGAAACGCCCATGCGACCTTTCTGAACCCTTGCTCGTGTTTATCAACGTCCAAGTTGGCTTTTACCTCCTCCATGGTCTTAAAATCCAGGATCTTAAAAAATATTTAGAAAATAAGTGACTTTTCTTAGAAATATGGTTATTCACTTGGTAATGAAGTATATCTCACTTCAAAGAAGAGGATGACTCTGGGGCTTTCATCCTTTTGCTCAACAAAGTAGCCAAAGCGTTCGTTGAATATGATTAGCTCTTGCCACTCGGGGATGATGGATTTGTTCTTCTTGAAGTCAAAAGGCTGAGTCATGATAGGGAGGATATGGTCGACGTTCTGTCCCTCATAATAGGAAGACACAGGTCGATGGCTTCAAAACACAAACAGATTTCACTTTTAATTAAATGTTTGAGCATGAAAACATTTTTTTAAACTGTAGCCCAAATATTTTAACGCTGATAGGTGTAGCAGCATAAGATCAGAGATAACTTCTTCTCACCAGTCCCTTTTCTTCACATAATTGCCCGTGATCTCATCAACAACGTGGATCTTCACCATGGGGTGCGAGATCAGTAAGTCCGTCTTCAGGCGATCCGTTTTATGAACGAACACTCCCAGAACAAGACTGTCATCAAATGTCGGCTTTTGCTCCTCTGCTGCTTCAGCTTCACTTTCTTCTTTGACAACTAAAAAGTTGAGAAAAATAACTCATCAAAATCTCTTTTTATGTTACACAAATTACTTTGTTTTAAAAAACTACCGTGCTTCTTCTTCTTTTTCTTCTTTCCCTTTGATTCAGTTTTATTTTCCTCATCAGCATCTGGATTGACTTCCTCATCTTGATCCCTGATTAAAGAAAAAAAAAAGTCAAAATGCTGCTTAAACTTTATTCTTGATATCAAAAACTACAATAAAGATAAAATTAGAGAGAAATACACACCCTACATCTGACTCAGTTGTTACAGATTTCAGCTTTTTCTTTTTCTTCTTCCCCATATCATTATTCAACACAGCACTTTGTGAGTTAACAGTTTCCCGTTTGACCCTTGTTTTCTTCACAGTCAGCTCCTCTTCCTGTGCCATCTGCTGCTGGTATTCATGCAGTAGTTTATCTTCTGGATCCTCCACCGGACTCTCTGCAACATCTTCTACATTTTCTCTGACTTTTCCCTTCTTACTTTTTCCTTTTCGTTTCTTTTCACCAACAGCAGCTTCTGGATTCAAAGTATTGTCGGCTCTAGAAGCATTTGCCCCCTCCTGTAAGTCCTCTGGAATGTCTTTGGGTACAGGTAAAGAAGGGAGGTCCCTCTTACTCTTCCTTTTGGCTTTTGATGCTTTAACTTCTTCATCCTTGCTGTTGTTACAGTTAACCTGTTCTGCTGTTTCCTTTTCTCTTCGTTTGTTTTTGGAATAACGAGGGCTGCCCTGTTCAGGGTCATATGTGTTTTGCAGAATGGTTTCGTCATCTTCTGTGTCTTTCTCAAGGTTCAGCTTCCTGGTCAGATTCTGAAGCTTTGAAAAAAGAGATCGACAATAATAATACATGTGATTTATTAATATTTTAAATTGCTAGAACTGGTTCACATTAAAGAAAATAAAACATTCTTCTGTTGCAGATGCTTTCTATAATTATATTTCATAAATAACTCAAGTTTGAATACAACACTGCAGCCAGAATGTAGAACATTTGATGACAACCACTGGGTGGAAAACAGCACATGTCAGAACACCTACCACTATGGTCTCGTTTGCTTCATGGATTTTCTTCTTTGACTTTTTCTTCTCAGATCCTGAATATTTTTTGAAGACTTCATTAAATCTTTCCCGGGTCTCTTCACTCACACCTGGAAATGTTTATTTTTTGTTATCTATACAATTCTTGATTACAAAAGTTGCTTGAGATAAACACTTTAGAATCATTTGCTGAATTTGTAAGTGGTTGTAAAAAAAACACTGATTACATATGGTAGTGGCCTGTAATAGTACGGCACCTTCTTAGGGTTCAACAACCCCCCAAGGCGCACCACAACACAATCAGTCATTCACCCATTCACACACACATACACATGCTGGTGATGATGAGCAACAATGTAGCCACAGTTGCCTTGGGGCGCACTGACAGAAGGGGGACTGCTGAACACGGGCGCCACCGGTCTCTCCGACCACCACAAGATGGGTTAAGTGTCTTGCCCAAGGACACAATTCTCTGGCGGGAGCTGGGATCAGACCTGCAACCTTCTGGATGCTGGACAACCTGCCCTACCTCCTGAGCTACTGCCAGCTTTGGTTTTGTTTGACTTCCATGAAAATACAAAACAACATCAAATAATCTGAGAGAATGTAATAAATTAAAAGGATTTTAATATTAATTTAACAATAACACTTAATATATATTTTTTATTTAGTGTAAAACTTTAATCTCTGGATTGGGTGGTCACTGAAAGATATTTGACTGGTTTACTAGTTATTAAATAATTTCTATATATTTTTTAATTGATTTATTCACAAAAATTGTTCTTTAGTCGCTTCAGGACAGCTGAACACTCACCTGGCATTTTCAAACATCGTGCTGTTTCTCATTCTGAGGGAAAAACGCCAATAATCCAGAAAAAAGCGTATCTAAAATACAAAGCAAAATGTCGCAGCTCACATTCGCGACTCTAAAGTGAGCATTAAGTTTCACTTAATGATACTAGAACGTGTCCGCTTAACGGAGACACACGAGATGTTTTATTAATAATATTTGTTAGCTATTTCACCAGAAGCTAGTTAGCTAGTTGCTAGCTAAATTGCTCTGGTCACGTACTACGCCTAAAAAAGTTATATCTTTGTTATTGAAATACATTATTGAACCAAAAGATAACCATATAATTGTTTTTAATAAGTTAATGTGAGCTTTCTACTTGAAACTCCTTGTTTGAACGCGGGTTACGCTTAAACTGTCCTCTACCGCACAACGCCGTGATGGTTTCCAAGTCAACAACGTACGGGCGGAGCGACGTAGATAAACAAACAAAAATGTAACCAATGAAATTTAAGGACACGAGAACGCTATAGCACGTAATGAGTGTAGCTCCCCCCAAATGCTGCGTTCAAAGACGAACATAAACTTGGATTTTCCTAACTTATTGCAAGAGCTCAAAGCAAACAGTGTGGCTCACTTCTTTCTCCCACAAATTAGTCAGGATTAAATTTACTTATACGTTTCTACCCGTAAAATGCTATATTTTTAATTAAGATAAAAGTTGGAGAACACATACATTCATGGTTTACTTTTCGAGCTTTGTAACTTCAGTGAAGGATGAATTAAGAAAATTATCATGTCAGAGTATTCAAGTTGTCTTGAGCTATAGATTTTCTATTTGATACTTGCACAAATGTGTAAAGTGTCTGAACAGTTATATATACATTCCTAACACAAACTATAATTATGCATTACATAACAGTCTTGTGACTTTACAGGTGAGTCCTGCAGGTGAAGCAGACACAAGTGTCAGAACATTTCATGTGAAGAATCACGGCTTTTATGAGAGCTGCTCCAGGTTGCTCAGAGGACTTTTTGATCGTTTGAAGAGATTTTGGGGAGATGTTGAACAAAAAGTAAATGAAGTTTTCAGAGAAACCTTCAATGTACCTGCTTAAGGAACACACCTGAGATTGAAATATGAAATATGAAATAGGATTCAAATAGTAACACACTTATTTGATGATTAGCTCAAAATAAAAATTAAAATGTATTAATGAAAATACCAAAATATTTCAGATTTATGCAAAAAATGATCAATAAAACTTTAAAGGCGTCTCATGAGTTTTCCTTGTGAAACCCATCAGAATCGTGGGTTTATTAATTTATTTTCCATTTTAAGTTTATTCTCCATATATTTTCTGTAACAGCCATGTACAAAATCATTAAGGGCCGCACTTTGGGTACCCCTGATCTGAGATCTGCCCAGATTAGCTGCAAAAGGATTTTTGTTTAAATGAAAGGAAAAGCTGCAGAAATGTTCCATTAAAATCTCTGTTTTCATTCTCCAAAGTTCCTATTTAGATGCATGAGCATTTTCACATGACCCAAAGTCTTTGAGTAATTCAATCATAGATCGTCCAAGTATCAAAAAGAAGGAGCAGTTTGTACTAGTGAACATAATCCGGTCCGGGACTGGTTTGTGCTTTATGTTAGTTTTCTGAGGATTTTTAGACTAGATCTATGAGACAGGAGATTTGTGCTTTCTTCTTCTGCAGATGGACACATTTCATCGGTGCTGGCTAACAGCGAGCTGGAGGACTAGCTATGGGAGGTGCATGCACAGATAGATCAGGCAGCTGCTGCAAATGATCCATGCTCCTCTCTCCTGTTAACCCATGACTCACCCAGAACATGTTTACTTTCATGCACTGAATGGAGAATCCTTGAAGAACCATGCATTTTAGTGTTTTTACTCCACTGTTTTTATTTAAACATGAGATCAAAAGGATAGATTGAGCATAGATTCAACTTTAATCAATTATGGCATATATTCAGACACTTTAACAAGCTAGTCATGAGCAGCACTTAAGCTATTAGATCAAATAGGAAGAATCCGTCACATTTTCTACTTTTATTATAATAAACACATTTAACCTACGGGACTTTGCTTTGTTGGGTGGTTGCACAACATCAAAGCAACAGTCAGTGCAAAAACAGCATTGTGCATTGTATCCTCTAAAACCACACACACACACACACACACACACACACACACACACACACACACACACACACACACACACACACGCACGCACGCACACACACACACACACACACTTATAAAATTAAAGCAAGTCTTTGGAAGCTATGCTCCTGTAGCAGCTTTTACATATTTGATTGTTGTCTCTCCGATTGCAGTAACTCATGTTTCACAGACACACGTCTTGATCTATTCTACATCTGCAAAGGAAGGCAGAGCACTTTGGAAGCAAGAGCTATCAGGTAAGAGCAGAAAAGCACAGAACAAGATGTGACTGTTGGAGTGGTCAGTAACGGCCTTTGACAACAAACTATCATCAGGTACGAGCTCTACAGCACTTTAGGATACGTCTGTAAGTGATCAGAATTCTGCTATTTTAGATTAATATGTAATATTTAACTGATGTAATATTTGTGCCACTGACTACAAACAGATTAGTAAGAAGATGCTGACGTCCTCCCGAGGAGGCAAGGCTGTGAGTTTACATGCTCCATCAAGGCGCTGAAGGTTAGCAACAACATGGCTGTTCTGCAGCTTCCTGCGGCTCTCCAACGATGTCCCTGTCTACTCAGCAGGACATCAGATGACTTCTGCACAATGGAAAAATGCAAAAACTTATTACAAAAAAGGCTTTAAAGAGTATTTTCAACCACTTCAATGCAGAAATGATACAGTGTCTGAAAACTGACGATATATTTGTCTTTCTTTTTTACCTTGGGGGGGTTTAAGGACATCGAAGTGAGGGTGGGATGTGTTCAGACTACCAAACACATCCAGATAAATGCATCCCAGAATTAAATCAGTCATTTTCAGTGTGTAGAGGGTTTGAAGAGTATGCATGGATTATAAAAATCTTCCACTTTCATTTTAGGGGTGGCAGTAGCTCAGGAGGTAGAGCAGGTAGTCCGGTAATCGGAAGGTTGCAGGTTCAATACCGGCTTCTACCAGAGAATGCTGTTGTGTCCTTGGGATAGACGCTTAGCCCAGCTTGCCTGCTGGTGGTGGTCGGACGGACCGGTGGTGCCAGTGTATGGGAGGCCTCGCCTCTGTCAGTGTGTCCCAGGGCAGCTGTGGCTACATTGTAGCTCATCACCATCAGTGTGTGATTGTGTGTGTGAATGGGTGATTGTGTTGTAAAGTGCCTAGAAGGCACTATTCAAATGTAGGCCCTTTACCACTGACCACAAGTAAATCATCTTTGAGAATAGACGACCCAGATGTGCATCCAGATGAACAAGCTGCTAATTTGGGGCAACCATCCTGAATGGTGGCCCATGCACACAGGTTTAACGTTAGTTTTTCTCACCTGCTCTTTGCTGGGTCTGGATCTCCTCCAAACCAGAAAGGGCTCTCAGTGATCTTCGCTCTCTGAAGGCCACCACCGGTACCACGTCCTCCTCGTTGCTGAACCCCAGCTGGGAGGACTTGGCCCCTACTGGCAGCTTGACAGCGTCCTCTATCGTTCCGTTTTGCACAGCAGGCACTGTGTTTTCTTTTGGTTGGGACTGACTTGGAAGGATCCTCGCTAGTGCAGGTTTCTGTGATTATAAAAGGATAAATGGTTTTGGTCAAGGATGAGCTGTGTGCTTTTCATTAGCTGCTGCTGGATGTGCGTCACAAGAGACCCGGGGCGGTGTGCTGTTTTGAAAACTGAGCTGCAAATCTCACTGTATCTGGAGAATCTGTCCTTCTGGTTCTCCGCATGATCTCCTCAAGTCTCTGTAAAGGGTTGTAAAAAAATAGTCTTTGTCTTTAGGAGAACAACTTGGGATGTTTTTATTCTCGTGTGTACAGATAAACTCAAATGTTAATCTGACACTGAATCTTTGTTCATTTTCAAACCGACCTTTTTTCTTGCTTGGCGTTCCGCCTCGTCTTTCTGTGCTGCAGTGTCTCGCTCTCTCTTCAGTTCTTCAGCTCTCTCTCTTTCTTTTGATAATTCTTCTTCTCTCTGTAAGACACATCCACAAGTAAAACAGGAATAGGATTGAAAAATAAACATGGTTCCATGTAATGCAGACGTTTTCCCCCTCATGCTCTCTGACAGTAAAAGCTGCACATTTGTGACACCTGCTTCTGCAGAAGGGCAGCTTCCTTTTTAGCCTGAGCTCTCTCCTCTTCCGCTCTTCTCTGCTCCTCTTCCTCCCTCCTCCTCTTCTCTTCTACGAGTCTCTGGGCCTCAGCCTCCTGTTGAGCTCGCTCCTGAGCTCTCCTGCGATCCGGTTCCTCACGGTTACACCTGAACAGAAGTTGCAGGATTCATAAAGATGTCCTTATGTTTTCATTTCTCATTTAAAAAACGACTTCACCTTTCATCTTCCTCTCGCTGTGGGCGTTCCTGCTCCTCTTTCTCCCGTTTTAGTCGAGCCACTTTCCTCTTCTCAGCCAAAAGACGTGACGCTTCCTCTGGGTCTGAAGTGCCAGAGGAGGGCTGGGTCACGACCTCAGGAGCCTGAGCAGCTGAATGAGGAAGTAGAAGAAAAGCTGCATCAGCTTTAAAATGAAACATTCAGCAGCCTCTGTGTTTTAGGCTTTTCTGTGGCTTACTTCCACCCAGAGCTGTTCTGGATAAAGCCTCAGGCTGAGAGTCGGACGGGTTGGAACACGGAGTCTCTGGTGGATCGCCTTGTCTTTGTTTCTCTGGCTGACCTTTACCTGATCCCCTCACAGGCCTTGTGTTGCCAGCAGAGAAGGTAGAGCCGCATGCAGCAGCATCCTCTTCCGGAACAGATGGGAGCTCCAGCTGCAGCGGTCTCGAATGTCTGCTGATCGATCGTCGAGGGCTCCTTTTAGGTCAAGCACATGAGGAAAAGCAATTTTGTCTGTTCACGTTACAATCAGAGTCTACTTGTGACCACGGTCCGACGGCGTTTTGCCTACCGCTCTGGTGATGGGGAGGTTGTTCTAATTTGAGAACCCGTGGCAGGTTTCACTCTTGATTTATTGCCTGAACCACCATTTGAGCCCTTCTTGTTGACATCTCGTCTCACGGCTTCGATCTAAATCAAAAAGGAAAAACAGCTCAACACTGTGGTTCTCGCCCCCTCCACACACCCATGGCCAAGAGGGAGAATGACACAAATTTTAACACAAATGTTGCTGCTTCTGCAATTTTAGACATTTTGAGAGATTTCTAATGATATACTGAAGTATAATTAATAGCATCTCATGAGTTTCAAAGACAAAAAGTCATTATTTGTAGTGTTTGATCACTTTTTTCAAGACCTTTGCTGTTCACTCTCCACTTTTTGGCCAAATCCTGACTGATGCTTGGAGTTTGTTAGAATTTGTGGGTTTTGTTTATCTAGCTTGAGGATGGACCATGTTTCTGGATACTGACTCAAAACGTTGACGGTTTGTTTCCTGAGCAACCTAGTTCTGACTTTAGGCCTATTTGTCAGTGCTCCATCATCCTGGAAAAAGACATTCATCATTAGCCTGCTGGATGGCTGGAGGAGTTCCTCTGGGGGGATGCTTCGGTACCAGTACTTATGTGTTCTGAGGCCAAACTGTGAATGAATCCACTCACTAGGCTAAGAAGACACCCAGATGGTATCAGAAAGCTTTACTGCTGACATGGAGCAGGACAGATGAGAGCGCTCACCATAGTTCCCAAACTTTTCAGCTTCAGCTATTTCTAAGACCCCCAGATATCTCTGAGTTGACAACCCAAACATGCCTAAAAAGCTAAATAATTCAGGGCATAAAGAAAAATTTTTCAGCTTATGTTAACTCAAATCCATTCATGACTGTTTAGTCGAGATTTTATAACAATTATGCTAGAAATATAGCTTCAGCGATTGTTTTAATTTCTGGATTTCTGGAAATATTGATTTCTGGAAATAACTGTGGGGTCCCTAGCCCTACTTTTGGAAACCCCTGCTCTAGACAATCGTTTTTATTGATGCCCCAAACAACTGGAAACGTATATTCATCAGACAAAATAACTTTTGAACAGGTGATCTACCTGTGCTGGACTGCTGCTTCTGTGCTGGTTGGCGTTGGACTTGGGGGAGGCAGGTGGCCTGTGGTTGGCTGAACAAGGGTGGTGCTGGAGTTTATGAGTGATGCAGGGGGTGGTGGTATTCACAGAGTGGTATGAAACTGCACGGCGACAAACATGGACAACTGAGCATGTTTACATTAGGGGAGAAATGGCAAGAACAATGAGAAATGTGTGTCAAACAGAGAGGAAACAGCAGCATTAGAGAGCCAGGAAAGTCAGCTTCAGCATAGAGTCTTGATACTACAAGCATCTGTGATCAGAGGGTTAAAGTACCTTCCACTCCTGACTGACAAGCAGCACTCTTGCTCCTAGCCAGATAAGAGCACGTGGGGGCAAGGAGGCGGCTGACCAGATTCTTCTCCCACGTTGTCAGAGGCAAGCGACGTGGAACTAGTGTATTGATCGGCGTAAAGGTGTGAGCTCAGCAAAAGCAACAGATAAGGCGTGCCATGTGTCATTGTGCTTTATTTTTAGAAATCATACTGTGTGGATAGGAAGGAGAGGGTGAGCAGAGAGCATGTGCATCTGTCTTTTTACCATTCTTTGCGGGCTTCCTTCCTCGGGAGTTTTGGCTGAGCTGCTGTTGGACCCTTTGGCTCTTCTCCAGCGTCCTGCGTACTGCAGATTCATACCGCTCCTTAATTTGAAACAAAACACACAACTGTGTTTGCAGAGCCCGAATATAAAATGTAACATTTCACATCTCCCCAGCAGAACTCACTTTCTCCACTCTCAGCCTCTGCCGGCGCTTCTCCTCCACCGCGGCACGCCTCCTCTCCTCTTTGAGCCGTTGCTCCAGCAGCTTCTTCTTGCGCTCCTGCAGTTGTTGTTCATAGTACCTCTGGGCCCGCTGTTCCCGCTCCAATCGACTCAGTTCCCTGGAAGCTAAGAATAAATCAAGATGCATTAATAGATTCACGCTTGTGATGACAAATAATGCTACAGAAAGCATTTGCCCCCTCACAGATTTTTCCACTTTTCTGTTTTTGTCACACTCTTGGCAAGCGTCTCCGATAACTGGTAATGCGTCACATCACTGCGGATGAGAAATGTCCCACCCTTCTTTACAGAACTGGAGGGTTTTCCACATGCTTAAGGTTAAAGGTCACACATTCTCCTTCAGGATTTTCTGCCACAGAGCAGAATTCATGATTCCATCAGATACAGGAAGTGGTCTACATAGCATAAAGCAGCACCAGACCATCACCCTGCCACCACCGTGGTCTGACATTCAATCAATCAATCAATCAATCAATCAATCATTTTATTTATAATGCCCCTTCCCACCCCCAATCAAGGGGGCCCAAGGTGCTGAACATAGTGCAAAGAAGCAGCAAAATAAAACAGCTCTATAATAAAATACAGAGCTAAAAACATTTAAAAACAAACAAAAAAGAGCTAAAAACAATAAGAATAGTGATCAAAAACATTAAAATGTGAATAAAAACAACTAAGAAACAGATCTAAACCACAGCTTAAGCCTTGCTTTAAAAGTGGGCATCGATGTGGACTGTTTGATTTCTCGTGGGAGTTGGTTCCAAAGCCGAGGACCCAGAACTGCAACGGCACGATCACCCCTAGACTCAAATCCACGATCTGAATCATGTTAGTGAGAAAAACTGCATAGCTTCTCATTGCAGTGTAAATGGAAACAAGGATTAGCCAGCACACGTACCAAGTAACTTCTGGTGTTCCTCTCTTCTTTCTCGAGCTGCTTTCAGCCTCTCATCAACATTTAGTCCATTGCTAGCTGTAAGACAAATGCATTATAGTTTATTTTATTGGTGAATCATAAAAATTCTACTAAATAAAGTATCTTAAATAGATTAAAGGTTTATTTTTTTCACTCCAGGTGTACAAAACACTCTGACTAACCTGCAGTGGCCTTTGCACTAACAGAATTTCACAGATTAATGAAAAGAACCGGCAGTTTTCTTTGAGTTTGGTTTGAGATGAGAGCCGTTCTCTGCAAATATGAACCAAAACCTCCTATATTATTCAAAAAATGAACTATTTCCTTAGATATTTTCTTTAAAGACAGATCATCTGACTGCAGCATGTGACGGCGTGTGTATATGAGCCAGAAAAAAGATGTGAAAAGCCAGAAGTGGCTGTACAAAGTAAAAGCTGTTATGACTGGTGTTATGGTCACCAGCCTGGGCTCTTCAGGTACAGGAGCCAGGATCACCCTGCCCCGGTGATCAGCCAGACACCGTCCCTCCTCCTCCTCTCCTCCAGGCTGCTGAGGAGCACAGCTGAGATGAATCCCTCTGACGACCAATACCTGGGGTAAAAAGGCGGTGTCCTCGGCAATCTGAGAGGCAGCAGAGCAGAGGTTCTGGTGTCCTCCAGGCCTCAGAGTTTGGGTTCAACTACTTCGTTTAGAAGAGATTTAACTTTCATAGTGTTAACTCAGAGTTTATGAGCTTTAAAGAGTTAAACCTCTGAGTGATCCAGAGGGATTGTTTTAAAGGTGAACTTGGTGATGCAGTTTTATGGAGTCTGGTTTTAACACCTTCTGTTCGGTTAAACTTTTAACATAAGTTTTAACCAGGCGTTTTGAATGTTGGTAATTTTGTCTTTTAATGTTAACCTTTTAGAGTTTTTTGTTGTTGTTTGGCATTATTTTAATAATGCTTACCGTCTGTCTTTTGACAATTAAACCCATTTTTAAATCCACTGTCATGTTTCTTATATTACCCCCCTCCTTCACATTTCAACAGCACAGGTCGGTGTTGTAACAACTGGATGGCCTTAGGATGAGCTCTAAATGAAAGACCCATTATGAACTGCTTGCATCAAATAGACCCAACAAGAGCTGCCTCGAACGAAGGAAAATATCAAGATGTGGTCACAGAAATGTACTTAAGAAGGAAAACAGGATGCTGCTTATTCTGATAGGCTCAATCTGATTTGAGATGATTCCTCGTGGTTGTCCTGTTCAATAATCTCCTTTTTCTAACTGGAAGCATTTCTGAAAGGATGAATTTAATGAGACAATCTTGTGAATTTTACTCTGTAATAAAATTTTTGAATCTCAGTGCCTCTTAAAGAGACAAACAAAAGCCACCAACCTCTCGTGTTCTCAGATTTGTTTCCAGTCCTGTGGCTCTCGATGGTACGTGTAGGAAGTGGTCCCTGCGATGGAGGGATGACACTCTGCTTCTTCTGCACAGCCATGCTAGGTACTGAGCCTGGCATACCAATGCTCTCTCTCTAAAATTCCCCCCACCCACTCTTCTTTTCTGTCCTCCCCCTCCCCTGAAATTCTATTTCAAGACGCCTCCGGGTCCTCGCTGGAGTACACTGTGAAGAGAGCTGCACCGCATCAGCTGCTTGTCCATCTGTGCCTTACAAAGATCTGGACAGAGAAGCAGGAAGACAAAACATCAAGACTAAACCCTGACCAATGATTTGTTTTTCTACGTCATCTACAAACATCCTCAGTCTCTTTAAGGGTCTGGAGAGATTGTGATCCTCAGCATCATCTATAGCAAGGCTACTCCCCCTTTAAAGATCTCACCCTTGTGAGCTGCTCTGCTTTACTTTCACATAATATAGCAGTGTCACTTTAATGCCCCCCCCCCCCCCCCCACACACACACACACACACAGGCTGCTTCCTGGAAGTAGAAAAAAATGAGTCCAGCATCTCCTGTAGAAAGCTCAGCTTACCAAGCTCATCCACGTGAGCGGTTACCATGACAACAGGTGTGCGATGATTAGTGACATATGTTGATTGACAGATCCACTAGTATTTTTACCCACAATTCCACTTTTTATATCTGTGCCATCCTCTGACCACTAGATGGAGGTCACCCATCACTGAGAACCCCATCAGGGAGACTGATGAGTTATCAGGTATCAAATAAAATAAAAAAAATCTTGTTTTGCTTATTTAGATCTTTCATAACCTAAGAAATGATTTGTTCAGTGTCATAAATGTAAAACCTTCTCTCATTAGGATTAAAGGGGTGTTTCGTGTAAGCTTGTAGCTGCTAGAGCTACTCAGAAGAGAGAGAAAAAAGAGCAAATGTCCAGATTTAAGTTCAAAAGTCATGATTTGTACATGGCTTTCAAACATACACAGTCAGGTAATTCTCACCTGTCTGTATTTACAAATGTGTGCGAATGGGAACCAAATTGTTTCCCAGTCTCCCTCTATCTGAATGTCTTTTCAGTGAGTGTATTAATGGCCTCCGACCCCATTACCACCCTTGTCCCACTCGATTGGCCGCTCTGCTAAAATGTCATGTTTTTTTCTTTGTAGCTCAAAGATGACAGCAAAGTAAAACTTGACCGCCAGTCAACCCCATCCAGCCATCGGACGTCCTTTCTGCTGCCTCGGTAGGACACACCCATAAGGCAGCTGGACCAGAAAGCATCCCAGGAAGAGTTTCTTTCTTCTGCTGTTCCATACAGGATGTCCTCGCCTCACCATGGGTAGGTCCTGCAGCCATTCTCGCTCCAGGCCTTCTTTTCATTTAAATGAACCTTTGCTCAATCTAGTTTTTATATTAATCTGAGCGTAGACAACTGAAGCTCTGCCACCACATCTCCACAGTCCTCTTCTAGACTCACCCGGCCTCTCTGGACACCTGGACATGTCTCCCCTTCCCCAGACCCCCTGACATCCTCTAGGCTAAGAAAGCAACCATCAATCAAAACCTTTAAATACACTTTTTAAGCATTTTATCCTTTTTGTTTTCTACAGTTGAGTTCATGTTAAAACCTAAAAATGTGGCAAATGCTCCAAATAGGTCATGGTTAGTTTCTTTGTTTTTCCTACAGAATTTCCTCCATCTATGGGAATAAATGCACGAGTAAAGTAGTGTCAATATGTTTTATTTTAAGCTTTTAATGTTTGAATTTAACACTGATCTTATTCAGCAAACAACTCATGTTCCAATAAAATATACAGTTATATAGAATATTTGCTCTGAAAACAGAGGACTGGAGGATTTTCCACACCGGCAGACTTCAGCTTGGGGAAGAGTCGCAGAGCGTTCTGAGTCGTCACCTCCATCACCGTCTCCAGGGACACTCCCTTGATCTTACTGATGAACTCGGCAGAGATGATGATGTTTTTAGGCTCATTTCTCACCTGGAAGATCGTGGTGTTTGAGGAAACAAAGTTGAGAGATTTTAGCCTCAACTACTAAATAAAAAAATTTTTTTTAGTAAAGGTGAAACATTAACTTTGTTCAAAATAATAACAAAAATAAAATAAAATAAAAAAACCTGCTTTTCTGGACCGAGAGCTGGTGAATCTGTTTCCAGACAGATGTTCTCCAGAGGCAACTGTTTCACAAGTTTCTGCTTCTTGGTTTAAAACACAAACAGACATTAAAGCTCGCGGTCAGCTAATGAAGTTAATAAATCCAAACCCACACATCATAAATTAGACCAGAGACCTATAATAAGAGACGGTCAGGCGCTCGACTGTACCTGCTCACTGCGGATTATGGAAGGTGGGATTGAAAAGAAATATCCAGCCTTCACTCCCTCCATCGCAACAGACGGTTTCCCATCAAAAGCATGAAGAAGGGCTTTGTCGACACCTAGTGGTATGACAGCGGAACTGCAGCTGATCTTTGACATTAAAGTGCAAGTCACCCCCAAATCAACTTTTTTGCTGATAAACTATATAAATGAGTGTCTAATCGTGCCGTAGACACTTGTAGTCAATAATTTGGCACTTTGTTGCATTTTAGTTGAAATTTAAATAAAACTGTCAGTGTTGTGCAGTGTCGGGTAAAAACTGCACTTCATTAGAATCTTTATCTGCCATCGCTATTGGCTAAGAGGTACATAATGACATTAGCTGGTACATTATGATGTCACAATGTTGTGAGCCTGTTTGCGTGTATTTGTTAGCGACTCCGTCCTCTCGGTCTGCCAGGCAACAGCATTTGTTGCATTTTTCAAACAGGAAGTGGGAGTGGAGTAGGTTTCTTGTAGGGGGTGACTTGCTCCTCAATATTTCATCTACATGAAAACGAGGAACTTAAGCGCCCCACCTTGTTCCTTCAGGAGGTGGATGGTGGGTCTTCCTGCTGATCTTGAATGAACATTTCTGTTAAAGGATACACTAAATCATTAAAAAGGCTTTAAATGAAATAATTATTTTGTCTTAATACTTAAAACAATATTTCAGCATTTGAAACTAAACACAGTTAAAGACTGTTTCACTTCATTTCAGATGAATAATTTCACAAAATCCCCCTTTTAATTTGTTTTATCAATGATAAGATCTGCACAAAATATAGGAATCTGTATGGTTTCATTTTCAATTGGTGCTCAACACCTATTAAATGAGTTGTTTCTGACATTACCGGCTACAGTAAAACTCACAGAGGGAGATCCAGCTCCTTGGCGATCTGTGCTTGATGAATCAGGACCTGCCTCTGATTCTCTTTATCAGATTCACTACTGACTAACCTGGGTGTAAAATCCAGGCCAACCTGCAACAGAAGCAGCAACCATGAAAACGTCTTTATTATTAAACATTCTAGATATAAATGTAACACAAGCAGAGTTGGGATGTAAAAACGTTATTAGTTTTAGTTAATAATTACTTAGTCTAAAAGGTGACTTGGTTAGTTACTTAGTTACAAGATTATAAAGGTAACTAATTAACAACAAAATAACTATTTTGTTACTTTTTTCATTAAAATATGCAAGAAAAATGGAACTCCCTTTTAACAGAACTTAGTATCTTCACTATAAATTACTACAATACTAAAATCTAAGTGACTAAATGGATCTAATCATAATAAAGTCTATGTCAAATTGTTTATTTTAAAACTGAATCAGTAAAATAAATGGGCACCTAACAGGAGGAAACATGACACTAATCTAAAATATTGAAACATCCCAGTGTGATATTTAACAAAACTCCAATCAACAAAAATGTGTTCCTGAACCTTTAAATGGTCTCTCAGTGTAGTTGAATTACTCAGATAAATAATTTTGAACAGTATTCTAATTTTTCCAGTTTCACATAATTGTGTGTTTTATTAGTATTTCTATTTCTCATAATCTAGTAACAGCACAACAAAAATCCTCAAAAATGACACTAGCACAAGCACAAGTGTGATGGAGGACTTAAATTTACTAACTCAGGTTAGACCCGAACACAGCAGAGCTGAAGTTGTGTGGCACAGTTACTAACACGTGAGCGCCCATGACGTCTGACACTGATACATTCAGTGTTACAGCGGGACTAAGGAACTGGAACAGGTTCCAGTTGGATGATCTTGGAAGACAGAAGATCATGACGAGGAATTAAAGAACTGACATGTGAGCGGTGAAAAGGTGAGCGGACCCTCGGGATGTCCCGCTGTCACGCCATCAAGGGTACAGCTGCAGATTCACGCCTGCAGCTGCGAATCTGCAGGTCTCCGCGTCTGCAGTCATAACTATTCATCACGTCTTCATCAATCCTCACTGGCTGTGCGCACTTCGACGAAAACCTCCACTCCTTTAGCTGATGGCAGTTTCAACACACCGCGCTGCTGAATTATAGTAACGCATGCATTTTCTTATCGGTAACGGAAAAGGTGTTATGACAAAAGAAGAGTAATTAACTAGATTACTCGTTGCTGAAGAAACTAACTTCCATTAGTAACGCCGTTGTTTTAAATGCTGTTATTCCCATCACCAAACACAAGTGACTTCAGCATTCTCCATAATCTAGTTGTGTTATTTATAACCAATGCTTAACTGGATTGTTGCAAAAACAAAATGTTTTGGGTAACATGATGATCAGCAGCTTTTTCCTGTTCTCTGTGTCTTTGTGGATTTACTATGAGTACTTCTACTAGTGTGCTTCATTTATCATATCTGCCACAATCTTAGCTTTGTGGATGCCCTGCTCATTGAGCACTCCCTCTCTCTGCCAGCTGGGATGAGAACCAGTAGCTCTGGAATCCTGAACAAGACTCATACATGCATTCAGACTAATCTATAAATAAAAAGGACAATAAATGAAAATGTATCTGTGTGGATATGGCTTGAATCGTCACCTCTCCAATGGCAACAAGTTCATCTTTGTATTTCTGTATGACTGGTAGAGCTGCATCAAGATCCTGAAAATCAGACAAACACGTTTTTATCCAGCTGAAAAAAAAGTTCCAACACCTAAAATACAATTTGTGTTTTATCTCAACAAAATCAGACCTAATTAGAAGGGTTTTACATATGTTACATCTTACCCAATATGTCACACACACACTCACATACCTCCTGCCCATAACATCATTTTGTGCAGCTCTGCAATAGTTTGTATCGATGAGTGTTGATTTAAACATGTAAAAGTACATCCGTTCACTAAAGCAAAATCATGACCCATTTTTCATTAGTAATGTGACCATATGTGTCTTATTTTTTGTTTCTTTACCGTCATCTTGTGTCTTGTTGCCACTATGAAACACCTCCGTTTACCTACCTGTAGAGAAGCGCCTCTCTGCTGCTCTGGGGAAACTTCTTGAACAGGATGGACTCCTAAACATGGGAAAACAAAACCAGGAAACCTACAAAAAAGAATAATAATCATCATTTTCTGTCAGAATCCAAACACATAACACGAATGTGAATTATACAACAGATCTGATCACCTCTGTGACAGCTCTATGATTTTACTGAATTCACCAGCATGCTCGGCAACGGCTAACAATGCCAGCAGTCCAGCCTGGATAATAAAAATACATTAGAAAGCTTAAACGTTCACACCAAATCATGTCTTACTGGTTGTGTCTCACCTTTTTTGAACTTTCAATCACTTCTTCTACATCCTGACAACAAAAAGAATAAAATTTAAAGCAGAATAGAGTTAAAACAAAACAACACAAAATAACAACTCATTTTCTTCCTCACTTTGTCAAAATCCCTTGCAGAGATGTGACAGTGGCAGTCCACGTAGCCTAGCATGTGTTAGCCTACTGTTTTTTTTTATTTTATTGTTTTTTTAAACAAGCTTTATTCGTTTTTGTCACAAACACAGAATCAAACTTACAAACATATATCGAATATACACACGAACAAGCATCAGCTCATTAACCGACAAGAGGCACATAACAGTACTCTTCAAAACTAAAACATCCCACTTCCTGTTTAACACAATCTACGCATGCGTAGACTCGTAGTAGCGTATAACCGAAGTAGGATTATGCGTGCCCCGTGTGGGCGGTGTTATGTCAAGAGTCTTTGATGAATGACAACGGCATGTCACTTGAAATAAATCAAGCGCATACAGTGTTTTGCGGAAAAGAGAAAACTGTTGTATTTGACTTAAAATGTCGTGATTCAGGTTTAATTTGTTTCCTTGTTGGTTTATCATGTGATAGTCTCATGACTTTAACGCTCTGCCATATCAGTCAGTCAAACAAGATCCTTTTGTCACAAGTCGGGTCAAAATGGGAGCGTTTGCAGCTGTTTGTGTCGTCTTTTTCACGCTGCTGATAAGCGGTATCAGCAGAGCCACATACCAACCGACCTGGGAGTCCATCGACTCCAGACCGTTGCCGGAGTGGTACGATCAGGCCAAATTTGGCATCTTCATCCACTGGGGGGTCTTCTCTGTGCCGAGCTTTGGCAGCGAGTGGTTCTGGTGAGTTCTTCGTCTTCTTATAAGAGGGCTAAGTTTAGTTTAGACAGCCACGGTGTCCTGAAGAAGTTGGGATCCCCTTAAAGTATATCCTCCTGTATCCCAAAGATTAACGATAAAGAAAGTTATGTTGTCATTTATACAAGTGATGGAAATAAAAATATTTTCATCAGGTTTCTAAGCTGAAATATTTATATAGAATGTATTTTTTAAAGTGTTTGTTATTTCCTACGTTAAGTTATTCTGAATTTAAAAGTAACTAATTTGAACAGTGATTTTAAAGAGTTATGTTTAAAGGGACCATTAAAAAAATCCAGAAGTTTGATTCTAACTTCTTCCATTTTACTTCCTAGGTTTAAAAGATGTTATCAGAGAAACTCACAATCAGTCCCAAAAAGACCTGATCTTGTGACTATTTCCTGTATTCTACTGATTGTTTTTCCAGCAGATTAAATAATCTATATAAACATTTAGAGAATTGATGACATTCCAGACTATAATTATTATGACACTGCAGTGGAAAAGAGCTGCATATGTTTATAAAAACAAATATTGTTTATTTTTCTTTTGTAAAAGTTGTTTATGGAATGTTGCTCAAAATATGAGCTGAAGAAAATATATTGAAAAACATGAAACAGGCTTTAAAGATGCCCTGAATTGCATTTTCACTTTTATTTATTACCAGAAAACTTAAAAATTTGATTGATTTTGGTTGATGTTAAAGACTGACCGTCATTTTATTTTTATTTGTCACAAGCGGGGTAATAAAATGTACATTACATTAGTAAACTTCCTCATATGAAACTGTTCTTTAAATGTTTTGCAGGTGGTACTGGCAGAAAGAAAAGAGGCAGGAATATGTTCACTTCATGCAGAGTAATTATCCTCCAGACTTTCAGTACCAAGATTTTGCGCAACAATTTACAGCCGAGTTTTTCAACGCCAAAGAGTGGACGGACATCTTTGCGTCATCAGGAGCAAAGTACATAGTGTTGACCACCAAACACCATGAAGGTACACCACCAGGAATTAAAACCTGTATTGAGATCAAGTAAGTTTTTTTTGTCAATGTGGAGCTGTGTCTTTGTGCTTCCTAGGTTTTACCCTTTGGGGCTCCAAAAACTCCTGGAACTGGAACGCTGTGGACGTGGGACCAAAGCGAGACCTGGTGGACGAAGTGGCGACTGCTCTGCGTGAAAACGGTTCCCTTCGTTTAGGGCTGTATCACTCTCTCTTTGAGTGGTTCAACCCGCTCTTCGAACAGGATGCTGCAAATAAATTCACCACCAACTACTTTCCGACCACTAAAACTCTGCCTGAGCTATATGACCTCGTTATGAAGTACAAACCAGAGGTGCTCTGGTCCGATGGGGATGGGAACGCTCCTGACAAGTACTGGAACAGCACAGCTTTCTTGGCCTGGCTCTATAACGACAGGTGAGCTCACACAGGAAGAGATTTTTGCTGATGTGAAATCTGAAATGATGTAACTCTGTGTTTGCTGATAGTCCTGTTCGGGACACGGTGGTGACGAACGATCGGTGGGGCCAAGACTGCATCTGCAAACACGGCGGGTATTACACGTGCACCGATCGCTACCAGCCAGGTCACCTGCTCAAGCACAAATGGGAAAACTGCATGACCATCGACTCAAAGTCTTGGGGCTACAGACGGAACGCCCCGCTCAGTGACTACCTCACCATAGAGCAGCTGGTGGCGGTAAGTTACCACCTCTCACCTTTCCTTACACCAGCCACATTCCACTTCCTGTAGATGTGTTCGTTTTCTGCCGGTAAAGATAAGAACAAAATCACTGGAATGTTTTCAGGAACAATCTTATAAAGCTGAGATTAATTTAGGGTTAGGATTTTAATTTATTTATTTATTTTCTGATATTTCCTTTTTATTTCCATCTGTTTTTGTAAAAGTTCTGTAAAAAATGGATACAAAAATGAAAAGACCATTATTGGAAATTGTTATTACAAAGATCTTTCAAAGGAAAATGTTCATTTATTTTTATGGTGAGTTAAATTAAATTGTTTCAATAAAATAAAGAAACTAATGAGGAAAAATCTCACAATTACTTTGCATCTTTTTTTTAGATGATATTTGATGTATAAACTAATGCTGCTGTTAATCATAAATTCTCTGTTTATTCTGTTTGTTTGTATCCTCCATTCATGTCTGGGATTCTGCTTGTTTGTTTGCTCACTTTAAAACCACAAATATTCAGCTTTAGTTTTTATGTTTTGAACTCAACATGAACGTAACTCCCAGGTGAAGTCAGGAAGCTGGCCCATCGATTTTCCATATGATACACTCGCGAGCGTAGCAGAGAAGATTTGAGTTTGAGTCAAAAGAGAGGATGGTTCCAAATACTTGCTCACCCGTTCGGCCAAACCAGGAGGCGGTGGAGAACTGACTAGACCAGAAAGTCATCTCCATTTTTATTAACTGTTGTTGACTAAATGGACAAATCAGAATTTGACAAGTTTTAAATGGTGTTACCAAAGTACCTCAGGAGATCCCTCCATCCCTCAGATACTTGGAGGTTATATCTTAGTATGAAGTGAAAATTTTAAATAGATTATGTGAAGCACAAATGTTCAACATTAATAATAATAATTTGAGGTGTGAAGATACTGATAGATTTAATTCCTAAAATCAACAAATGCTAATCTGCTGTAATTTAAGATCTGAAATGAATCATTTCAGGAAAAATATTCATCCATCATTCATCAATGTAAAGTTCAGGTCAGGACACATTATTCAAACATTTTGGATTTAAACAAACTATTCAGCCAACAACAAGGGCGTCAGTTTGTTTTCAGAATTGCTGGGGACAATAACCATACACTTGAGTGGGGTTTAAAAATTGCTGGGGACAATAAAGTAGGCTAGCACAGGGGTCGGCAATCCGCGGCTCTGGAGCCGCATGCGGCTCTTCCATCCATCTGATGCAACTCTCTGTGCTTGTAAAATAATAAATAGATATTTAAATAAAATGCTTTATATTTTACTGCATTAATTTTACACCTGTATGCCAATTCTAAATGTAAAGATTGTCTGCGTAAACCTGAACAGGTCCAACCCGGTCTGCAGTGGTTGACCGGTCACGCTTGTGCGTAATCATAGGCACTTTATGAGCTGAAGAGGATGTGAGATTCTGGGCTTCTCCTCAGACGGCTCCTGGATGTGTCGCCACATTGGAGACAGGAACAAGCGCTATTCAGCCAAAGTTTCATCATCAGGGAACATTTTCTAAGTGACAAGTCTCTCTGAGAGACAGGGTTTGGAAAACACTCGCTTCAGTGGGAGGAATCTTCCCGCATGCGCACTGCATGGTTCTCTGCGTGGCTCTGGGGTTAATCAAGTTTAATTGTTTCTCTTTGCAACAATCTTCACAGGAAGGCAAAACAGTTAAACGGCAGGTTACATATATTTCCATTTGACTGTTTATTTTGACAGATGAACTCAAGGATGTTGCTTGGTTTGAAAGAATTACCCCAACGCACACGGATGCTCATGGATGAGCTGACATTTTAATCGTTAACGCACACGCGGAGGTAAAATATTCCCATCAGAACATCAGAGCTCTTTATACTGGACACTGTGTTCAGCGCGGCTCGGAGCGCCCCCGGTGGACAGTGAGCTGAAGATCTGGGGTTCGCAGTGCAGCGCAGTGCAGAACCACGCGCATGCGATGATTTCCTCCCACTGAAGCGGTCTGGAAACCCGGTCTCTCTGAGGGATGTGTCACTTGGAAAATGTTCTTTTTATGAAATTATGAAACTTTGGCTGAACAGCGCTTGTTCCCGTCTTCCGCATGAAGCGTAGAGACATTTGATCACGCACAAAGTTTATGTGGAGCAGAAGCGGTCGGGCCACGGCAGGTGAAATGTTCCTAGCCTACATGAAGTGAAACTGTTTAATTGTAACATTAATATGTTACTGGACACGCTGGTCTGGTTGGTTAGACCAGTGTTTGAAGTGGAAAACACACACACACACACACTCACTCACTCACACACACACACACACACACACACACACACACACACACACACACACACACACACACACACACACACACACACACACACACACACACACACACACACACACACACACACACACACCAATTAAAATATAAAATAATGCTGATAGCGTGGACTAGAAGACAGGTGATGGTTTACGTATTTAAATGATGATCAGGCTGATGTAAAATGTAATCTCCATCCACATCCAGACACAATTATCCTCTAGTCTTTCTCTAGTCGCTCTGCTCTTGTCTGGGCTGATCAGCTGATGGTGCGCGCGCGCCTAACTAGCGGCTGATGCACATTTTACGCATTTGGAGAGGTGGACTGGATGCTGTGCGTTTACTGGAAGATGGTCCACTTAACGCACGGGTGTAGACTACATATTAATGACAAATGAATGAAAATTAAATTCTGAGTTTTAACTTCATATTTTATAAATAAAAAGGACGGGGGAAAACATTTATGATGTCTTTTTAAACGAAATTTTCTAGCGCGACCTGCCTGCTTCACTTAAGTCACTGCTTATTAAGGTCCGTCCAAAATTACCGTGGGAAACGGGTAATAATGGCTCTTTGATGGGAACAGGGTGCCGACCCCTGGTATAAGATCTGAGCTGGTAAAACAAAAATCCTCATCAGCAGGCGTTTTTGAAAGTGGGGGGGACACAGCTGCCAATCACAAATTTTGCCGGGGACATGTCCCCGGCGTCCCCGGTTAAAATGACGCCTATGGCCAACAAAATATGATTATATGAAGTTTTAAAGTCATTTATATGAGTCAGGGAAGATAGACTTTTTCAGAGTAAAAGATAAGAAGTTCTGCATGTTGCAGCCTTGAGGACTCGTGACAAATGCAGGATTTGTTAATATTGGCTCAAGTTTATTTCTTCATATTGGCGCCACGGTGTCAGATCGACCTGTATGAAGAGGTTTGGCCTGTAAGGGAAAAGTTAACATCTGGGCATTTTTGATGAAAAACGTGGCCATTCGGTAGCTACAGCTTTTCTTTCTTTTTTTTTTTTTTTTACATGGGAGTCAATGGGAATTTTCTCTGTTTTGGAGTCAGCTCCTAGTGGATGAATGGGGAACTGCAGATTTTGTCACTTCCATGTTGGCTTCACTTTAGATCAGGGATTCCCAAAGTGTGGTGCGCGAGCTGCCGCTAGGGGGTGCGCGAGGTGAAAAGTGTAATGGCTGCGGAGCTCAGAGAAGTCTGTCATATGTCACCATTAGCATAGAAACTCATTTGTGGGCGGGCCAAAGAAAAAGTAAGTGGGCCCAATAAATGTAATTGAAAACAAGTATATTTTTGCGCGCACGCGTGTCCTCCACATGTGCCCTAGCTTCATAATAACAATGCGCCGAGCTTCAGCGCTCTGGCCTGCGCACGCCGATATGTTCCGTATTTGATCATTTTTAACGGTGTTGGAGGAATCTGAAGGTGGCGAGTCATTCTGGCAGATTGTAATTAACACCTGTCTCATGCAGGTGTTCTGACGTTGTAAACCTCACACACAGAACATTATGGATGTAACTAAATAACAAGAAATGATTCCCATTCAGGCTATTGACAGCGCGCTGAAGATCTGAAGTTCAGAGTGCGTCTGTCAGAGATCAGACACGTTCCAGCGGAACCACGGCTCACGGGTGCACATGTGAGAACATCTGGGCTGGGCAGAAGTAATTTTACAACATTGGTTTAAATAGCGCCAATAACGAGACGCGGTGACTTGAGCGGCTGTGCCGCGCAGGCGTGCGCGCGCACACACACACACAGATTCAATAAGTGCGCACGCTGCTTTAACTCCGGCGCGCCGTCAGACTGAAGGCAGAAATGAACGCTGCCTCCACGCGTGATGAAAACTTTTAAGAGGTTATTTTTCATTCAAGGTCAAATTAAGATATTAGCTTCTGGGATGAGTCGGGTCCGCTCCAGCCAGTGACTCCTCATGAACCTGACCACAAGTCCTGTTACTGCAGCATTTGTTATTCCAGTCAGCGTGTTTAGACTAAAGCGTGTTTGTCTAAAGTTTAGACAAAGGGAGTTTGCCCCTTGGCTTTTCCTGATTGCTTACTACTTGTTGTTAAACATCTGTTAAGATAAGCTTACATAAGCTGTGGTGATTTCGTGTGTGTGTGTGTGTGTGTGTGTGTGTGTGTGTGTGTGTGTGTGTGTGTGTGTGTGTGTGTGTGTGTGTGTGTGTGTAGACGCTGGTGGAGACAGTGTCTTGTGGAGGAAACCTGCTGATGAACATCGGCCCTACACACGATGGAAGGATCTCTCCGATCTTTGAGGAGCGTCTGAGGCAGATGGGTCAGTGGCTGAAGGTGAACGGGGAGGCCATCTACAACACCTCAGCCTGGCGGGTTCAGAGTGAAACCACAAAAATGTGGTGGGTCTGCGTTTTAGATCTTTTGATCGGAAAGCTTGTGTTACATTTGCTTAGTCACAGCTTTTTTATTTTAGTTTGTTATCAGGAGGCCTCAAGCATAAAAATATAAAATATTTCAGTAATTTTACCATATTAGTGTCTATTGTTGATTTAAATTGTAATGTTTAGTGTAATTTAAAACAACGGATTATATTTTGAAATATAAAAAATATACATTGAGCACAATAAATGATTAGTTGGCATTTTGATTGCGCCAAAGGTTTTATCATCAGAGGTTAAAGGGCCTGTATCATGCTATTTTACACGTTTCCAGTAAATGATTAACATTGGCACCATTGAGATGTCATTTTTAACCAAGTATAAGTTATTTTCTTAACCCATTACTTCTACCTGGAATTAAGACCTCACAATGGCTCCACTCACCTGCAGTCCTGGGTGTGACGGATGCCACAAACTTTCTCAGAAGGTTTTGGAGCTTGAGCAGAGGATCTCCACGCTACATCAGATCCAGGACCACGAACGGGACGTGGATATCATCTTTGGCCATACACTCGCCGCCGCCGATAGCGCTCAATTGGCGGATACCATCCCGTACCAGCTCGGCGGGGCTGTGGAGGGTGGACCTACCGCTGGTTGTCCAAGCGGCCTCGGGGCACCGGAGGCCCGCGAAATAACTGCGGAGGAGGCAGAAAGGGCGCGCTGGCTCCAGCAGGGAGCCAAGCCGAAATTCCCACTTTGCTCCACTCCAACGCTCCAGGGTGCCTGGTCGACGGTTGGCCGCGGTGGGGGGGCCCGGAGCTCCAGACATCGATCTGCTCCATTTGGCCTCCCACTCACCAACCGTTTCGCGCTACTGGAGAAGGACTTCCCTCCGCTGACGGCCTCTGGGCCCTGTAGCTCCACGGTACCATCCTCCGATTGCATCGAGCCGCCGCGGGAGCAGCTGTCGGACGCCGACGGCCATCCACGTCCCGCCCAGCCCTGGGCTGGAGCCCCAGCACGGCGAGGAGTTGCCACCCTCACCCCAAACCCACGGAGGGAGCCCTCGGCCCAGGAGAACCGCTGCAGTCCCGGGGAACCGCTGAACAACATCCAGCAGGTCCCGGACGGATCCTCTGCTCCAGCCGACCCACCACCAAGGACCCTCATCATCGGAGATTCTATTATCAAACACGTCAGGATGAGTGGAGCCGTCACTCACAGTTTTCCCGGAGCGAAAGTCATGGACATTGCCAAACGGATCCCAGAGCTCATCCACAATCACCCAACAGTGAGTAAAATAATAATCCACGCTGGCACCAACGACACCCGCATGCAGCAGTCTGAACTCCTCAAGCGTGATTTTATTCATCTTTTTAACTTGTTAAAAAGCACACATCTGTGTGTTTTTATCTCTGGCCCCATCCCCACGGTTGACAGAGGAATTGGACGCTTTAGCCGAATTTTATCTTGAACACCTGGCTTTCTTCTGTCACTGTGCAGCACAACATTGCTTTTATTGACAATTTTAACATTTTTTGGGGCAGGAAGCATCTGTTTGGGCCTGACGGACTCCATCTAAATAGACAGGGTACCCACACACTTAAAATGAGCCTGGCCTGCCCACGACCACCTTTACCCACCACACCACCCCCAGCTGCCCCCACGCCCCAACCTCCTCCCCCCACATCATGATGTCCCACTGGTCCAGGATCCTATGAACCCAGTTATGATTTTAACAGTAACCCACATATCGGACTTGGACCCTTGCACACCTCTCACATTCCTGTAATCAGCAGAGAGCGATCACATAAACATAAAACTAACCGGGCTAATCTTAATAATCTTAAACAGTTGTCAATAATCTCACCCCCAGTCAATCACACAGTCACTCCACCTTTAGTTACTATCAATATGGCTCTTTTAAATGTTCGCTCTCTGCTGAACAAAACTTTTATTATAAATGACCTCATTTTAGATAATCATCTTAAATGTGTATTTTTGACAGAAACATGGCTGAGTTCAGATGCTCCTGCTGTTCTCACAGAGGCCTCCCCACCAAACTTTAATTTTACTTATTCAATAAGAAACGGAAAAAAGGGAGGCGGAACTGCTTTTATAAGCTCATCTACACTTTCCGCAAAACATGTTTTATTTGATAACTACACCACATTCGAATATTGTGCAGCCATTTTCAGCGATCTTCAGATTTTGTGTGTTACTCTTTATAGGCCTCCGAGGCACAGTGCACTTTTTATACAGGAATTTTCCGAGTTTTTATCAATTCTGCACAACTCTTTTGATAGTATTATTTTAGCTGGTGATTTTAATTTACACATAGATGACCCTGCAGACCCTTTTACCACTGAATTTTTAAACATTTTGAGTTATATGGATTTTACACAACATGTTGCACAACCAACCCACGACAGAGGACACACCCTGGACTTGGTCATCACATATGGTCTGTCCACCGGTGTGTCCTCTGTCGTGGATTTAGCGATCTCAGATCATTTCTGTGTGTTTTTTAGCATTACCAGCATAATTCAGCAGGAGACCTCTGTGAGAACTGTAATGAAACGCCATCTAACCCCTGAAGTGGCTGCTGGTTTTCTGGAAACTTTTAAAAAGATCCCTCCTATTAATTTAAATGCCCCCTGTGATTTTATCTTCAATGATTTTAACAGCAGACTTAAATCTACTCTGGATCTGCTCGCTCCACCTAAAATTAAAAAGCTACAGCCAAAACCGGCTTCCCCTTGGAGCAATGAAAACTTGAAAATGTTGAAAAGATCTTGCAGGGCGGCGGAGAGAAAATGGAGGAAATATGAGAACACAATTAATAAACAAATATACAAGGAATTATTAAAATCATACAACAAAGCTGTTAGAAATTCCAGAAATAATTACTTTTCTAAAATGTTGGGGTTATTAGGAGCGAACAATTAGTAAGCTTCAACTTACTTTTGGATTCTTCAATAAATTCTGTAAATATGGGAATATTTACTGATTTATTAATTAATTAAGATATTCTTAGATATACGGGGCACCATTCCCCTTTTTCCGGGGAAAAATTGAATCCAAAACTCTTATCAGTCTTTCTTGAAGTTCGTAGAATCCTTGGAGCAGAGACTTCTCTTCGACACAACAAAGCTACTGGAGACGAAAATCTGAATTTTATAACGTTTAATTAACAATTTGTCAAATGAATAAACAGTGGCATAAATGAATAATAACCATGTGATATAATAAAAGGATGTATATTCAAAATAATGTTCAAGGTGTTTTGTGTGTATGTAGGATGTATGAATGGGGTCCTTTGTTCTCACAAAGGAGTAGTGTGTGTGCGTGTGTATGGATTCAAAATGGAGTCTTGAATACAAGATGGCTGACTCCTTTGTCTGGCTAAAGTGTGGGTGGCAACTTGCACTTTAACTTCCAAAGCACTTAGAATCAGTAGTAACTTAACCTTAAATCACTCAAAACATTTCAAAGGATCATGCAACAACACAAAAGATTAATCACGAGTTAATATCCTTAGTTTATCAGCCTGGCCATGGCCGAACATTTAAAGATACCAAACAATGATTAATAAGCAGTTTATTCTTTCAAAATGACCCGAAGGACGAATTTGGAACGAAAGAGGAAAACACGAAGCTACTTTTTTTAAGCAATAGCGCGGTTTTATTGCTTATTCTGGACTATAGAGGAAACGGGAGAAGAAAAGAATGAGAGAAAAATGAGTTTTCTGATCACCAAAAGAGCGAGGCGTCCCTCCCCCTTTTGATTTGACGGTTCTCCGTGTTTCTCCGCAGTTTTCAGCGTCATCCGCCGGTTTGATGCTTTCTCCGTTGTTTGGCTCCACGAGTGTTTCTCCACGGCTGGACACAAAGAAAACGAAGTTCCTTTTGGGCTGAGTTTGACAACTTACAGCGTTTCTGAGAGCTGGATGGAGTTGTTGTTTCCCTCCGCTGGTTCTATGTCCTCAAACATCAGCTGGAGGGGAGCAGAAACGAGCAGATCAGCGGTCCCGTGGGCTCAACTTGGCTCTTAGAGCTTCCGCGTGCTCAAAGAAGTCGGAGCGTTCGACAAGCGTGTCCTCACCGCCAGGTATCCTGGGCAAAAGAACGAGGTTTCTCTGTCTCTGCTGAAGATTTATGGTCTTAGTTCGCGGGGAAAGCTCCACGGCTTCCCGCACATGCGCAGAACGTGTTTCTGGTACTAGGCGGTAACATCACCCAATGCTTCCGTGTGCAAAGCATCATGGGAAATGAAGTTTCTTGGCGCTGATGTGATTATTTGCTTTTCAGAGCAATTTAAGCACAGTCATTTTGGAGAAAATCACTGCATAGTAATTTCCTCATGAGGTCAGACCCTCAACATTCCCCCTTTTGGTTTCGGGGATCGCGCCCAAAGCTCGATCGTCGGAAGCACAGATGGGTTTGTTCCTCATGAACGTAGGTCGACTTGATTGTCGGAAGCACAGGTGGGTTTGTCCCTTAGGACGTTGGTCTCCTTGGACGCCTTTGTCTTTGGTCTTGGCTTGGATCCTGGCGCCTTTGGTATTTGATCCTGGTCAGGCACAAAGAGGATAGGAAACGGGATAGTCCCCAACGCGCATAACGGGAAGAAGCCACTCACGCAGGTGGTACGCAATGATGATGTCGTCCATGCGAGAGGTAGTAGTGTAGAAGGAGGAAGGTCGGTGGGCGGTTAACTCCACGAGTGGACACAAAGGCATCTCACCGCCGGCCATACAGTTCAGTTTATGGAGCACGCGGTGATGTACGAGATCCATAGTTCGCAAACGCGCATTGACCTATGTGGTCCCAAGATTCCCCCCTTTTTGGTCCAAAGGGTGGATCAGGACAGTCTTTGGGCTAAAACAAGGACCATAAAACTAAGAGGTACTACAATGTGCTGGTGCGTCAGACAGAGTCATTGACAGACTGAGCTGGGCCGGCACATAACCACTAGTCAATATGTGACCAAGTAAGAAACAAAAATACAGAAAACCCAAA